GAAAATCCCTATCCAACTTCTGACACCAGATAAAGTGTGGTAAGTAAGCATCTGGGAAACGATAGGGGAGGAATCACTTACACCAGAGACAGATGGCCGCAGGTTCCTGTCCCAAGGATGCCCCCATGCTCTCTGTCTCCGACCAGGAAGTAAGAGAGGGAGACGGCCCCCACACCTAGTCCCCCAGGTCACTCACCTGTCCCATGCCTCCAGTGGGCGTGGTCAGTGCAACAGGTGCCAGCAGGGTGGACATCTCACTACAGATAGGCCTGTCTCTGCCTCTCAGGACCTGGGATTAAAGGCGGACCACTACCACCCAGCCTTAGTTTCCTTTTAAATTTTCTTTTTGAGACAGGTTTTCATATAATATAAGGCTGGCCTCTTGTCACTTTGTGTGTATTGAGGGTGACCTTGAACCTCCAGAATGCTGGGGTTGGAGGGACCACTGTACTTGGTTTATGCAGTGCTGGAGGTCAAAGCCAGCCTCATGTCTGCTAGAGTAGCTAGCCTCCAGTGCCTGTGGTTTAATGGTTGCTGTACTCAAAGTAGTAGGTTGTTAAAAGCCTTTTAAAACGACAGTTTATAGGGACTGGGGACCCACCTTTGTTTTCATTTACTAGTTTGCATGTTAAAGTTTAAAAACTGAGTTTTCCTGTTGAGTATTTCTTGCAGATTGTGGTTAATGACATAGTACAGTACACACTCCTACAACCGTCTCCAGAATTGCTCATTTTCTTTAGTGCTTGGGTTAATTGGGCTGCCCAGTGATAATCATTAGTCTCTTTTTGTTAGCATGTTTTACCTTCACCTTTCTTTTAGTTAACCTGAATACTTTTGGGTAACTTTAATGTTTGGGAAGCACTATGCACCTGTGAATTAAATGCTACAGAGTGTTGAGTAATGAAGCGGCTGAGCTCAGTGTTGTATTTGCGCTTGTGGATGTCATCTGGAAAGAGGAATCTTAATCCAGGAAGTGCTGCCAGAGGACCGGCCTGTAGGCAAGCCTGTCTGCATTTTCTTCATTGGTGATTGTTGGGAGGGCCCTGCTCGCTGTGGGTCCTGTAAGGAAGCAGCTTCATGGCCTCTATCAGCTCCTGCCTCCAGCTTTCTGACCTGTTTGAGTTGTGCACTGGCTGCCCTCAGCAGTGGAGTTGACTTGAAAGTTGTGAGCGGAAACAAATCCTTTCCTCCCTAAATTGTCACTGTGTCTTATCACAGCAATAGAAACCCTAACTCAGACAGTATTTGAGAAGCCAGACAAGTAGTTCCTTGAAGTCAGCAAACTCTCTCTCTCTCTCCTCTCTCTCTCTCTCTCTCTCTCTCTCTCTCTCTCTCTCTCTCTCTCTCTCTCCCTCTCTCCCTCTCTCTCTCTCTCTCTCTCTCTCTCTCTCTCCTCTCTCTCCTCTCTCTCCTCTCTCTCCTCTCGTGTGTGTGGTGTGTGTGTGTGGTGTCTGTAGCCTGTAACCCTGGCTGTGTTGGAGCTCATGTAGATCAAGCTGGTGTTGAACTTAAGGAGACCTGCCAGCCTGCCTGCTTTTGCCTCCCGAATGCTGGGATTAAAGGTGTGTGCCAGCATGATTGATACACACACACATTATTTTCTAACACGTTCTAGATAATACAATAGAATTTAATTGTAGTTTTCATTTAATTTATCTTTTCTTGTTTCGTGTTTGAGACTGGATCTCATTGGTCAGGCTGAGCTGGAACTCAGTGTATAGAGCGGGCTGGCCCTGAATAGTCCTGCCTGAGCCCTTGAGTGCTAGAAATTCCAGTCTTTTAAAAATTAAAAAATTCTTAAAGTTTTAAACATGGAATTTTGTTTTCTCACTAAATAGTTCTTGTGGCCTAACCATTTCAGAAGAGCGAACATGTGGGCTCATTGGGTCGGTCACTCTGCTACAGGGCTTATTGTGTGTCTGATAAGCTCAGCAGAACAGAACTTCTCCCTAGGTCTTCTGGAACACAAGTTTGTAAATCCCAGTATTGAGGAGGGGACGCTGTCCTCTCATGTGCAGGGAAGTATTGTGTGGAGTTTGGAATCTCTCTGGCTCCTTAACTCCAGAGAGAATAAAATGCCTGCCTCCTTCTGGAAGTCCTGGGTGGCTTCAGAGGGGAGAGTGAAGAGGTAAAGGAGAGCTTCAAGCGTTCTCCTGTCCTCAGCCCTCTCTTCTCTCCCCTCCCCTCTCTCCATGTGGTATTGGTGCTGGAACTCCAGGTGGGCATTGCTTTCTGTTTTATTTCTCTTTCAAGGCTGGATCACACTGTGTCACTCTGGCTGGCCTGAACTCATTATTGTAGACCTGGAGCTCAGTGGTTCATCTGTCTCTGCCTCTGAAGACAGGTGGGGAATTACTTTTCTGTATCTGTTCCGAGACACTGAAGTTTAGATTTCTGAAGTGTGTTTCTTTCCAGGAATATCATTACCCTCTTCTGATCCCTCTGTGTTCTTTCCTTATTTAGGCTTAAGGTGCCCTGTTTAGTCAGTGGCCACTGTTGGACCAAGCTTGATTCTGCACTGAATTGTTCTATCATGGATGTCTTCTGTGAATTGTTCTTGAGGCTTTAAAGTGTTCTAGAAGGCTCATAACAACAGTTTGGCTATCAGTTCTTTCCTTAGGCACTTGGGCTCTATTGCTGTTATTAATATCTCAAATCAGGCTTATTGAGTCATTGGATTATTTTGTTTGTGAGGAAGTGTTTGAGACTATATTTTATGGCAGTTGAGGCTGGCCCTGAGTGCCCTATGCAACTGAGAATCCTTCAACTCCCAATCTTCCTCCTGCATTTTTAAAGTTCTAGTGTAACTGTAGATAGAGATTCCTGTTCTGCTTGGTCCCACAGCCATTTAGCCCCAAATAAACACACAGAGAATTATATTAATTATAAGCTGTTTGGATGATTGTTGGGAGATGTCATTCTGTAAATATGTTTCTTTTATTGGGTGAATAAAGCACTGTTGGCCAATACAAAAGCAAGATAGGCAGGACTAGGAGACAAGGAAGATTCAGGAAGGAGTAGGGAGGAGTTTCAAGATGTAGTACCAACAGGGTAGAACTCCGGCCCTCTCTCCGGTAAGATAAGACCACGTGGAAACACTTAGATTAATAGAAATGGGTTAATATTTAAGACAGAGCTAGCCAATAAGAAATGCTAGTAACAGGCCAACAGCTTTGTATTTAATGCAGTGTCTCTGTGTGTCATTTGGGGCTGGCGCAGCTGTGGAACCAGGCTGGTGGGGAAAAACTGCTCCTAACAGATGATGGCTTAGGCGTCTTACTGGCTAGCTCTCTGTTAATTTTTAACCCATAATTATTAATCTGTGTGTTTATACATGGCTTTATCTTACTGGGAATGCTGGTGTCCTATCTTCCTGTAGCTACGTGGCATCTCCCTGGCGGCCTCTGAGTCTCCCAGAATCCTCCTAGTCTAGTAGCCCTGCCTATACTTCAAACCTGGCTACTGGCCAATCAGTGTCTTATTCATCAACCAATAAGAGAAACACATACAGAAGAACACCCCATCATATTACGTTATAGCATCACACCTGCTTTAAGTCACTGGGTCTTCAGTGGGACCTAAAAGAAGCTTGTGTCGAGTAGAGCAGCATTTTGTTTTGTGTTTGGGAGTTGAGGGTGGGATCCCGTGCCACTGAGCTGCACCGCCAACCTGCTAGAGGACCGTTTCCTGTGTATTTGGAATCAACTTCTTTAAGTGAGTCAAGTATGCAGTACAGTACATTTTCAGTGGCACTGAGTGGTTTTGTTTTCTTAATTGAAAAAAGTTAGAGAGTGTAAATGGTGAGTAGTGCATTGTAGAGCACAGTGGAGTCGTTTCTGTGCATTTTAATGAGTCTCTGTCAATTTGAGTGTAAGTAGCTTTGATTGTCAGTGTTGTATATAGGAGTTTGTTCCTCTTGCTCCCTTGTTTAGTAGGAGCAGCATCTTCCATCCTGAGAGGAATTGGATTGATGAGACATCTGGGCATTACTTAAGGGAGAAGTGAAATTGCTGCCCTTCCTGTTTGCCTTTGCCTTATCTGTTTCATTTATGTATTTGTTATACTAGAGTTTTAGCCTTTAAGTTAACTTGACTACTCTATTAGGCGGGGTTCTTTAGAGCCACAGAACTTACAGAATGAAGTATCTCTCTATAGAAAGGGGATTTAGTAGAATGATTTACAGGCTGTGGCCCAGCTAATCCAAGCTGGTTGCCTACAAACAGGTCCTAGAATCCTGTAGTTGTTCAGTCCACAAAGCTGGTTGTCTTAGCTGGTCTTCAGTGTATGCCAGAATCCCAAAGTGTACTCCGCTGCCTAGGAAGGAATGGGTTTGCTGGCAATGGCAAGGGCCAGCAGATAGAGAGAAACCTCCTTCCTTATTCTTACATAGGCTTCCAGCAGACGGTGGGGCCCACATGAGAGGTGTGTCTTCAGCCTGAAGAGCTGGATTAGAAGTAGCTCTTCCTACTTCAAATTCAGCAAAGATTCCTTACAGTGTGCACCTCCATTTTGGGGTGTTAGTTAATTCCAGATGTAGTCAAGTTGACAACCAAGAATAGCTATCATAATTACAAATGTGATTTTTACTTTTCATGTATTTCTTCATTTATTTCACATGTATTTCAATTGTATTTTTATATTCTTTGTTATAAAATACTGCACAGTCTAGTCTAGGTTAAAAATTACTTTGACTTGTGATTTCTTAGAATGTTATTGATTGGTGTGGTTTACCCAGGTCTTCAGAGATGATTAAAATCCTATACTAATCCTTCTGAGTTCCCAGTAGAGGGCTAAAGGACATGCTGGCATAACATACCACTTGCGTATTAATTACTTTCTGATTTAGGTTGGAATTTAGAATTTTAAGCATCTGTATTTCTTCATATTTGTGACTTTTTCTTCCTTTTTAAAATAATTTATGTAAATGTTCTTTAATTCCAAACTAGATCTGAATAGTTGAATGAGATAGCATTTTTATTGGGTGTGTCTCCTGTTTTCAGGCTCTGTTCTGGATATTATTAAGCATATTGTGGCAAAGGGGGAACACAAAAGCGGGGTCTTGGATGAGCCGACCATCGCTACAATCCTCCGAGAAGTCCTCGATGGCTTGGAATACCTGCACAAGAACGGGCAGATTCACAGGTTTGTGAAGGCTACACCTTTCTCCTTCATAGGAGATAACTTTGTAATCGTAAGTGCCATGTGTTTCCTGGTTTGTATCAGACAATATCCCACCTTCTGGAATTCAGATCCCAAAGAAAAGTACCAGGAACAGTCAAAAAGATGTTTCATATTGTCAGATCCTTAGGGACAGTTGAGATCGTTTGGGAAAGTCAGTCTTTAGTTTTTATTTTGCTTAATTTGTTCTTTCTTAGTTTCCTGCACGTGTGCAATACTGCGTAGATACTATTCCCGCCCGCTGTCCTTGTGCCCTCCACCAGGCTGCTTTCCCCCAACAGCCCCTCCTGCTCCACGCCTGCTTTGAGTGTGGGAATTGAGTGGGGCTTGCTGGCTTGAGCAGTTACAGAGTTACAGAGCACAGTTACAGTTACCAGGGCTATACCGTAGGAGTGCGACTCCCTCCGTCTCCCTGGGATCATTAATTGCTTAGAGCCCACCAGGGAAGAGTGAGGCCTTATCGGGGCTGGGGCGGCCGGATAGGACCTTGGCTTTACAGATAGCCACTTCTGTTGTGAATTCATGGGTGCAGCAGCCATGGCCTGACCAGAGCACAATGTTTGGCAGCACTCTGGCTCTTAGGTTCTTTCTGCCTCCTTCCTGACTCCTCCCTGAGTTTTGGAGAGGGTGACAAGGATATCCTCTTTTGACCATTTAGGGGTTTCTGTATTAACAGTAATCCATCACAACCAGAAGCTTCTGTGACCAAGCAGCACAGATCTGAGTATAAACACAAATATGTAGAAGGCAGTTTTGATAGTGTGTCCATTTAAGAAAGTACGGTTCCAGTTTAGGGCCTGACTGAACCATGGGATTTTTTGACTAGGTGTATAGTACCAGGCATGAATTCCTCCTGTAGAGAGGATTTTAAATAGTTGTTGGCTATTTCCAAAGTAGTCATGTCATTATTGTATCAGTTGACATATCTTTCCTGGCAGATTGGTATTGAAGCTGAGAGAGGTCATAGCTGAGTGACTGTTGATTTTTTTTTTTCCCCCTGTGTTTTAGTTTGCTTTCTGTGGATGTGATAAATACCATGGCCAAAAGCAGCTTGGAGTGTGGTGGGGTTTATTTGACTTACAGTCAGTGCAGGAACTTTAAGCAGTAGCTATGAGAGAATGCTGTGTACTGGCATGCTCAGCCTAGGGAATGGCACTGCCCACAGTTGTCTGGGCTGGCAGTCCCTGGGTTGAGATTCCTTTTTCAGTTGACTTTAGTTTGTGTCAGATTGGCATCTGAAGCTGACATGGTGTTCTCTAGCAGCCTGCAAAAATACTCTGTCATGGTGAAAGCTGTCTGTCAGAGAGGAGGCTTCCCTCAGTTCCAGCTTGATCTGTGTCTTGCAACCACAGTGCGTGGCATCTTCAACAGTGGGGTGTTTTAAATGTTTATTTTTACGCTGTGTGTGTGTGTGTGTGTGTGTGTGTGTGTGTGTGTCTGTGTCTGTCTGTCTGTCTGCGCACGTTTTGTGCACTGTGAACATGCCTGGTATATGCAGAGTGAGTTGTACTCCCTGGAATGGAGTTGCAGGTACTTGTGAACCACGTGACTGGCACTGGTGGCCAAGCTCGGGTCTTCTGCCAAGACTAAAGTAGGGGGCCCTCCCCGTTGCCCTCTCTCCAGCCCTTTGTCCTCCCTGAGGGAACACTGAGGAATTCTTGGCTCACAGTGTTCTGTTCTTTCCCTTTTTAAGTTAGTGCTTTCGCTGCACCTCACTAACTTGAGGCCATGTTGTGCTAACAGCAAGGCAGTGTTAACTGTGATTCCCCTGCTCCTGACGAGTTATTTTCTCTTGCTGTTCTGAGCCTGTTTCCCCTTTGGGTTTGGGTTTTAACAGTTTTTACTCTATTGCTGTTGGATATACACATTGTTTTGTATGTGTGATTTCCATTTTTGTTTTGAATTTGTAATTTTTTCCTTTTCTATTTCCTTTTGTTGGCTGTTATTTCATGTTGACATGCGTTTTTCTCAGATTTCTGAAGACACTGCTGATTTTTCTTGTCTAGACTGATAATTCTGTCTTGAAATTTAAAGATTGTTCTGACGTCATTAATCTGCTTCTAGTAAAATGGAACCCTTCTAGAAGACTATCCAGTAACCCTTCCATCTTCTCTCCCTTTATCCCTCCTTTCTCCTTTCCCCTTAGCCGTCACCTTACACCCAGCCTCTCCCCCTTCTCCCCCTTAGCCTCCTCCTGGTGTGGAGCTGCTGTTGCTTCTCTCTGCTTTGTTTACGTTCTCTTTATTTTGCAGTCTGATGAGTGGGTAGAGGTCACACTCACACAGCAGCCTCCAGGATGCCTATGCTTCCCTGCATGTTAGAAGAGACTTTTCAGAGGCCTGGGGTGGGGGTGCAGGCCAGCACTGTTTGACTGGGCTCTTGTGAAGGAAGTCTCCTTTGCTCTTTGTGTACATCCTTCTAGTTGGCAGACGTGTGGCACTGGAAAGGCCTAGGCTTTGTGTCCATTAAGCAAGTGTGTGTCTTGAGTGTCTTTGTTTGTAGCTGGGTTGCAAGCACAGATGGTGCAGTTGGGGTTTACCCTTTTCTTCCTGTGGGCCAGCTCTCAGAAGGTGGCTTCTGTTAGGTATCACTGTGTATCGGTGCTCCCCACCGCTTCTGACCACATGAGTCTGAATATCTCTGGCTGGAGATGTGCTGGCTAGCATGATGTAGACCACACAAAAATAGCTCTTGCCTCAAAGGAGATAAGAAACTGTTTATTCTAGAGCTAACTTAATGTAAGTGCCCCTGACCCCACAACACAGAATCAGGTTGCCCCAAGTTCCATGTTGCAATGCGACAATAATTTAATAGAAACAGAGAAGGGCATCAGTCAAGACACTTTTCCAGTGCATCGGTGGGAGCTGCAGGTAGGTGACTACAGCAAAGGCAGAAACCTCTGGTCTTAGGTGCTGTCTGGTGGACTCTTAGGCTTGGCTGATGGGAGCTAGTGGTCTCATTTGATAGTCACAGAATGTTAGAGCAAGTAGAGGTGGGTGGGGCGGGGCAGGCTAACAAGGGGGCCCAAGGTAAATTTCAGTTTGGCTCTGGACTTACAACATTCTGACCTCTGCACAGTCTTTGCAATTGCAATCAGATAATCAGTCCTGTGGAAATGAGTACAAGGTGTAGCTTCTTTCTGGAAATGTCACCCACAGAGGTCTGTGTGCCCTGGTAGAGCCTCCACGCAGAGCTGGGACTACTCCTGCACCACAGCACTGAGGGCTCCACTTTGCCTGTCTGCTATGATGCAGTTTTCCAATCATGCCCCTAAGGTTAATTTCCAGAGTGCTGAAATGTTTGTTTCATCAAGTATGTCCAGCAATGATGGTGATGTCAAGGTTTACCAAATAAACCTGCTCTTAGATTTTGTGTATTTCTTCTATGAGATTATCCTAAGAACAGTAGCGCCCCCCCCCCCATCCCCTAGAGAGATTCCTAAGGAAATTCTCTGAGGGAATGAGGTGTATGCTTTTTCTCTCTTTCCTCCTTTCCCCCTTATTCATCCCCCCCCCACACACACTTTTTTTTCCCAGTTCTGGGAATCATACTTAGGGCCTACATCTGTGGTACCAAACGCTCTACCACTGAGCTATATCCTCAGGCTTACGTTTTATATTTTTAAACTAGTTCCTAAATAATGCACTAAGTAATATTATTACATGCGTAAGTGCTATATTGTTCTTACTAATCTTTGCAAGTGAAGAAAATGAGGCTTCTTAAGTTAAAGCATTTGTTTAAACTTACAAAGTAGGTCCACAAAGAAGTTCTCAGTGGCCTGTGGGTTAACTGAGTATAGTTCTGAGAAATTTCACATGACTTTAATGAGTAGTAACCTTTGTTTTTTTCTGGTTCTGAGACTGAACCTAGCTAGCACTCTACAGGTTGGCACAGGTGTCCTGCTGGGAGGTATATGCCCACCTGCCTTCAGGCTCTTAACTGTTAGAGGAACGATGCATGAAACAGACTAGATGTCAGTCATACAGAGTGGATAAAGTTCTGTGTGGGTGAACTCAGTGTGGGCACTCTTCACTCTTTCTTAATGTAGGCTTGAGCTTGTGACATAACCTTTTTCTCTGTGAAGAACATACTTTAAAAGTGTGTGTGTGTGCATTTGTGTATGTTCTGGCACCTCTCTGTGGGGTTCGTGGACATCCTGGGAGTCACTCCTTGCCTGCTACCATGTTTTAAACATGCTCTCTTTCTTATTGCTGGTATGTGAGCCTCTAGGGTTTTCTTTTACTTCAGTAATGTACTGACTACAGATTTTCTTAAATTTCTTTTTGTCAAAAATTTTATTTTTTGCCTTTACCTTTGAAGGATAATCTCAACATATAGAGATTAAATTCATCCCAGAAATTTTTGTCTCTCTTTTTCTTTGTGTTTGTTTGTCTTTCTGTCTCTTCCTTTCCCTGTGTCTATATGCTTATGTGCCCTAGAGTATTAGGGAAGGCTGTCTTTGAGACAAGACCTTTCTGTTAAACTGACAAATGTGCCTGTCTTGTATGGATATCTTTCTTTTCTTTTTTTTCCACATATGCTAGAAATCATAGGCTATGAATTTTTTCTTTTCTCTTTATTGATGGTGTTTTAGGCTGTGTGAGGTCAGAGCCCACCCACCCCATGTGACCTCACCTGTGTCACGCCTGCTCTGCAAAGCCAAACCCGTGACCGGCGCTGGCTTCAGAGAAGGTTACAGTGGGCTGCCGCTGACCTATCTTCTCTCAATACACCTCAGGGTTTCTCCCTGCAAGGAGGTTAGCTTAATGAAGTCAACGCTGGCTGTCTTGAAGATGCCCAATGTAGTGTATTCCTAGCTTTGCTTGTGATTCATTAATAGAAATTAATCCCTTTCAAGTTTCCCAGAAACCTGGCTTCTTCACTGTGGAGAAAGCCAAGTGTGTCTATTGCATTGTATTCCTTTTAGTTTTAGGAGGAACTTGTAACTTTGGGTAACAGTGGTGTGTGAGAAATGACAGAAAGCAATGAATTCCTGCCATGCCAGAGTAAATAAGAGGGTTAGTCCCCAGGGCTGTTGAGTTGCTTGTGATAGTTTGAGATAGAGTAAAGCAAGTTCTTTAGCCTAGTGGTGGCTCTCGCCTTTAGTACCAGCACTCAGGAAGTAGAGGCAAGTGGATTTTTGAGTTCTAGGCCAGCTTAATCTACAGAGTGAGTTTCAGGACAACAGCCAGGGCTACACAGAGAAATCTGTCTTGAAAAGCAGTAACAAAGTTTGCTTTTAAGCCTGAGAACTGTATTGGTGTCTGAACTCCTGGTTGCAGATCTTCTCCCTGACAGGCCCCTTGTCTTGTTGCATGTCAGGACCCTGAAGCCTGTCCTACAGGTGTAGTTTTAGTTTGAAAGGGAAACAAAGTTTGACTCTTTGGCATATTAATCAAAAAAAAAAAAAAAAAAAAAAAAAGTCACTTAACATAAGGCTCTGCTGGAAGATGGATTAGTGCCTCATGAAATACTAAAGCTTGATAGCATTATCTAAATGATACCTATATATCACTTCTACATTGAAACAGCTCAAAATGGTAGATAGAAAAAAGTGATCTTCTCAATTCCATCAGACTAAATTATGTTGACATTGTGTGCTTAACATTTGATACGGCTTTTCAATGACATGAGAAGTGTCACATACAGTTCATTAGAAATGTGTCATAGAAAACACTTGACCATTGTCCCTCAAAACTGCCAAGGTCACCAAAAGCAAGGATAGTTAGAAACTGTCACCGTGGAGAGCCTAAGGTGACCTGGCAGCTAAATGTAATTAATTTGCTCACCAGGTGGGACCCTGGGATAGAAAGGAGCCTTGTATAATCCTAAGAGAATCTTTGACGAGGCTGTGCGTAGGTGAGGGATGCAGTAAAGAAACCCTCATGGCCAGGCCACTTCATGACTTGGGGCAGGTTATTGTTGGAAGAATCCAGAGCAGAGAGAAAAAGAAGCGATTGGACATGGCCAGGACAATCTTTAAGAGAAGAGACAATAGCAGTTTTTGGTGAGGTGGACAGACGTGGAAGTGCAGCCATCTAGTAAACCCTGCAAGTACCATGGGACATGTAGTAGAAGGAGTAGGCGTTGTAAGAAACTCGTGAAGGTTGTTTTCTACCAGAGGTAGGTAGCCCTGCAAGGAACCTTCTTTCCCTTGCACCGATTAGGCAGCCAAGTTAGATGGTGAAGTTCAGTTCCCACTGCTGGGGTGAGACAGTCATCACTTACATCAGGAATAAAAGATGGAAGCCTTCTTGGCTCAATGCACTTGCTAGCCGGGTTTGAGTTCTGGTGCATTGTTTTTACAAAAAGAATTGCCTTGCTGAGGTGCTCTGTCTCTGTTTGTGTGTTCCTATGTGCAACATCAAGGGTTTGTTTTGGGTTTTGACACAGGGTCTGGCTGGTGTGGACTGTGCCCGTCTTAGGCTTGCCTCTGCGTCCAGAAGGCTGGGACTCAATGTGTTCCACTGTACTTGGCATTGCTTAGGTTTAGATACCACATACGTACCCTGTTTATTAGAGTTGTTACATGTGGTTAGCAGTGGAAATATACCCCATTCTGAGTAATGTTGCTTAGTTTTGTAAGTGTACAGTAGAATCTGGTTATTATTATTTGATCAGTTAGAAAGTGAGAATGGAGGGTTGAGGGACTTGGAAGAGAATGACCCACTGCTCTTTAGCATGGGGTTTGTATAGAGAACATTTTATGTTTCGGCAGTAAGAATGAGGTGAGAACAGAAGAGGGTCACTCTGTGGCCATTATCATCCCAGTCAAGAATATCTAATGAGCTTAAGTTTTCTAGATAGTATAAAAAGTTATGTTCCTTATTATAGTATTCTTCTTAATGTTTGCATTATAGTATAAATGGCTGAAACTTTAAAAAATTACTGTTGGCTCTAACACACTTCAATGTAAAACAAAATATTTAAATTTACTTATGTTTTATAAATAAATAGTTGCTTAAACTTTACTATTTTAAAAAATAAATGTTTGATTTTTTTTTTTTTCCTTGAAGAGATGTGAAAGCGGGAAACATTCTTCTAGGAGAAGATGGCTCTGTACAGATCGCAGGTAACGATTACCATGACCTGGTTTCCTTTCATTGCAGTGTGTGTGTGTGTGTGTGTGTGTGTGTGCGCGCGCGCGCGCGCGCGCCATGCATAAATGCGTGCATGTGTGTGTTTTCACATTTGTTGCTGCTTGCCTCAGAGACCTTTTGTCCCTGCATCCTGAGCAGTCATACAAGCAGCTGCTGTGCCTGCCTAGCATTTGTGTGGGCGCTGGGGATCCAGACTTCGGTCTTCATGCCTGTGTGCAAGGGACTTTACCCTCGGAACCACCTTACGGTTCACAGAATTTCTTTTTAATTTGGTGTAATAGCCAGCAGGACCACCTTGTTTGTCTTTTATGTTTTCTTGGTATTTGATCCTATTCCAAGGACATGTTTCTGTTTAAGCACCCTCTCCAGGTGGCTTCTGCTACACATAGACCTTTTCCTGGCCATTACTCCTTCTTTCTATTTCCCCACTCCTCGCCTTCTGTTAGGGATTCTCATAGCATTCTGTACTTTTCATTTAAAGGAGAAGCAGCTAGGAATCTGCAGCGTTCAGGAAGAAGTACTCTGTTGCTTTTGTCCAGGGTTGTGATGGTTTTAATTGTCAACTTGACTCAGTGTAGAGCCTGGGAAGGGTTCGCAGTGTGCAGTTGTGTAGATTAGGCTTGGCCTATGGATGTGTGTGAGAGGGATTGTCTTAACTAGGTTAACTGAAGTGAGCTGGCTCACCCTGTTCATGGTGGCACTGTTTCATGTGCTTGCCACCAAGCTGAATGGAAGGAGAGCCAGCGGAGTACCAGCATGCTTGACTGAGAGTACCATAGCGGCTTCATTTACTGCCACCTTGACTTCTTCGAAATATGAAGGAACCATAACCTAGGATTGTGAGATGCTTTCTTCAAAAAGCATCCCAGCGACAGTACAGAACTAACACAAGGATGGCGGAGTCACTACCATTTAGGAAGCCGTATGTTTGAAGTGGGAGCAAGTTTTAGAGCCAAAAAAGCTGGAGTCCCTGTCCTCCTGGAAGTGGCTGTCTCCTCCTGCTTGCTTTCACACTGCTCTAACAGTCAAGTGAATCAAGTCAGCATCTTCAGTTCTAAGAGAGAATGTAGGCAAGTACCTTTATATCCTAAAGTTAGGGCAGGACCAATTGTTGGCTGTAAAGCAAGAAGTCTTATACTCTGATGGTGGGAGCGTGAATCTGTGTGGTGATTTTATTACAGTTGAGGCTGTGCATAGGCAGACCTTAAGCAGTCGCTTCTGCTGTGTAGACTAGAGAAACATCCTTCTGTGGTCGTCATCCATCTAAATCATTATGAGTTTCAGACATTCCTAATGCCCTTCCCTAAAACACAGGGTAAATCACTTGTGGTTGCTTTATAAACCAGCATACCCCATGATGGAACTCAATACAGCCATAGTCACCTACAAAATCATTAAGAAGTCATGGAATTATGAAATCGAGTGATAGGCTGGATGTGAGTGCCTTTGTCCAGCCATCTGTCGAGTGAGAAGCTCTGTTACCTCTCTACCCTGTCCCGTACTCACCCCACCTCCACACGTTACCAACAGTGTTTCTCTGGCTAGCTTAAAACGATTTTATTTTAGTTCTTTATTGTTGTGAAGTAGAAAAGTTACCATTGTTAACTGTCCTTAAGCGAAGGGTTCTGTGCCTAAAAATACAGCCCCCAGGTTCACAAGTACATTGCTCACTGTCAGTGTACATCAAATGATGTCTGCCTTACTGTCCAGTCTGAACAATGTTGCTATCCTTGCTTTTCTTCTTGCTTTATGTAGCCCAGGCTAGCTTCAGTTCCTGCCCAACTGGTGTGGGAACTGTAGCCCTGTGTTACCACGTCCAGCTTCTTCCTTTTGGGCTTAGGCTTAGAAGTAGAATTGTGGTTCATACAGTGATTTCACATCACCTTTTTTTCTTGAAAGGGATAAGATGGATTTCCATATTTTGCATGGTAATTTTGCCCCTTTTTATTCCTGTCTGCAGTTCATAAAGGTTTCAGTTTCTCAACATCCATAACAACACTCATTTTCTCATTTTATTTTTTGATTTTTGTAGACAGGCTAGTCTTAGTCCTGGCTAGCCTGGAACTCACTGTGTAGACCAGGTTGGCCTGGAACCCACAGAGATCAGCTTGCTCTAATGGGGTTGAAGGTGTGTACCACCATGCCTAGGTTTTTTTGTTTGTTTTTTGTTTTTCCCCCATCTAATTTAATGTTTAACTCGTGGGTTTTGATTATACTTGCCTAGTGATCACGTATGCTGAGCACCTTCTCATGTTCATGTTCTCCGTTTGCTTTTCTTAGGTGAACCCCTTTGTCTGACTTTTATTACTGTTTTGTTTATGTGATTTTTGTTGTTGCTGAATTGTAGATACTTTTACAGCTGTGGTTTCAAATATTTTCCCTGAATCTGTGGATTTATTTGAATTTCATGGTTTTATGGGTTTCAGCCCAGGGCTAACTAGACCCATTGATTGGGGTCCTAACAAGGCAGAATAATAGCATGGTGAGAGCATGTGGGAGGGAAAAGCTGTTTATGAGAGCAAGGGATCTTTCCAGAGCATTGACCCATTTTCTCCTGTAGGGCTGACCTTCAAGCCATCTTGTGACTCCACAGGGATCAATTCATTGATTATATAGAACTCTCAGGAGCCACCACATCACTTCTCAAAGCATCAGCTGGCAACTAGCCCAACCCCATGAGCCTGTGGGGTTACTTCCTCTTCAGACCATAACAAACCATCTCTTCTGTTCCAGATTTTGGTGTTAGTGCTTTTTTAGCGACTGGTGGTGACATTACCAGAAATAAAGTGAGGAAGACGTTTGTTGGCACCCCTTGCTGGATGGCACCTGAAGTTATGGAGCAGGTATTGTGACTTTGTCCCGTGGAGGGTTCAGGGTTTGTCAGGAGGGCTCAGTGGCGGTTATGTCTGTGCAATACACAAGGGTGGCTGCGTGAACACAACCAACTCCAGAGTAGATCTTTACATAGGACACAAGAGATTCAAGACTACACTAAGACAATCCAAGTAATAAGAAAGTTTTAAAAAAATCAGTATAGATTGAATGGCTGGGCTCTTACCATTTCCAAGGAGCATGTCGGACGCCCGCGCGCCGCAGTCATTGTCTGTCACTTGTCTCATCATACCACGGTGAACCCTGAATCCGGTGCTTGTTTCCCGCTGCTCCCCTTTTCCTGCTGGTATGTGAGACTGTTCATGCCTCCGCTCCACTCACTCAGTTTGCTCCTGCTCCTCAGGCTGCTCTCTGGCCTCTAGGCCATCTAGTCCTTTGTTTGTTTGTTTGCTTCTTTCTTCTTCGAGACAGGATTTCTCTGTGCAGCCCTGGCTGTCCTGGAACTTATGAACACGTTGAGGTAGCGCACGTTTACAATCCCAGTACTGAGGCTGAGGCAGGAGAATCAAAAATTCAAGACTAGCCTGGGCTGCACAGGGAGACCTCTCAACCCCCGTCACCCAAATGCCAAAGCTTATGAATGGTTTAATTTTTCATAACATAACTAGAAATTTGTACAAGTGTTTAGCCTGGTGAAAGTAATCGTGCATGGTTCTCCATCCCCCCCCCCCCCCTTTAGGTTCGAGGTTATGATTTTAAAGCTGATATCTGGAGTTTTGGAATCACAGCAATTGAACTGGCCACAGGGGCAGCTCCTTATCATAAATATCCACCAATGAAGGTAAGGCTCATATTCAAAGTGTTATTCTAGCTCAAGTCCCAATTACTTTTCAGAACTGTTGTGTTTTGTTGTGGTTGCAGCTTTTTAAATGTGCTTTGTTACTTTGCTTGTATGCCTGCCTGTGAGAAGGCTTTGGGTCCCCTGGAACTGAAGTTACAGACAGTTGTGAGCTGCCATGTGGGTTCTGGGAATTGAATCCGGGTCCCCTGGAAGAGCAGCCAGTGTTCCTGACTGCCCAGCCAGCTCTCTATCCCCTATTTCTGAGCCTTTTACATTTGCCAGTCATACCCATAGTTATTTATTTTCTTAGATTTTTGTGTGTGTGTGTGTTGTAGCAAAATACAATCTTTCCAGTAAAACTACCAACATAGCCATTTTTATTTGGTGTTATATAGGGACCATTTTTGGATATGCAGTTAAGTTATAGACATGTTCATGATGTTGCCATCCCCACTCTCTCTCCTTTGTGCTTAGTCTTTGAACTCTTTATGTGGTTCTCCATGAATACACACTGAACTGGTGAACTACAGTCATGTTGCGGTGCCGTGAACACCGCCACCATTCCTCCAGTCCAGCTGCATTTTGGTGTCTGTTATCCCGTCTCCTTCCTTTCTCTGCTCATCTGCCTTTCATAGCCTCTGGTGACAGAATGACTGTCAGTGGCTGCAGGGAGGCAGGGAGAGTGTGAACTAGTCTGTAGCTTTGTTACTGAAGTACAGTTGCTGATTTCTGTACTAGAAATTTCTGGGAGAAAAGGATCCACACTACGTAAAGTCGAGGAGGAACAGTTGATAACCCATAAGGCCACACTTGCATTTTGCTGTGGCTTTAATGCTTCTGTGTTCACAGTTGGCTGACAGTAGAAGGATTAGGCCTGGGGACATGAAGAATAAAGGATTTTAACTGCCGGATATAACAGCGGTGTTGACAGTGGGCACTTGCAGGCAGGTTGTCTGGGAATCCATCCACCTATAGCTCTTAACTGATGTCCAGTCCACATGAAAACTCTGGGTTCTGGACAACCAATCTATTTCTTGTGGTACTTGGTGTTGAGCTCAGGGTCTCACACATGCCAGACAAGTACATATATCCTCTGAGCTATATTCCCAACCCTGGATGTTAACTTGTATGTGTGCATGCATGCCCGTGTGGGCACTTTTAGAGACCAGAGGTCATTGTCAAGTGTGCTCCTCAGTCACTCTTGAATTTATATTTTGAGACAGGGTTTCTCTCTGAACCTGAGCTCAACAGTATGACGGGACAGCTGACCAGCAAGCCCCAAGGAGTGCGTGCCCCTCTCCCCAGCTGGGATTGTAGGCATGGACCAGCGCACCCAGCCTTTTTATGTGAATTCTGAAGGGTGAACTTAGGTCCTTATGTTTGTACAGCAAGCACTCAACCAGTTGAGCTGTCTTTCCAGCCCCTAGAGTCAGCGTGTAGAAAGTAAATTCTGCTTGTATGGTGGGAAGATTTATCCATATTGAAAACATCTCAGAAATTTATAGTGTATTGAAAATTCTCACAGGTTTTAATGCTGACACTCCAGAACGATCCTCCTTCTTTGGAAACTGGTGTTCAAGATAAAGAAATGCTGAAAAAGTATGGGAAATCATTTAGAAAAATGATTTCACTGTGCCTTCAAAAGGATCCAGAAAAAAGGTAAACTACTAAATAAATGTGATGTGACTCTCTTGACCCATAAACTGTGAGTTGCCCTAAATTTTACATGCATATATACACAGGGTTATGTGTGTATTCTTAAAATAAGGAGATACTAGGACTAGGTTAATTTTTGTGTTCTTTTAAGTATATGGTATATCTAAATTGCCCAGATATTTCTTGATTAATTTCTCAAAACTATGAAATCCCATATATATATATATACATATATATATATATACATACACACACACACACATATATATATATACACACACACATATATATATACACACACACACACACATATATATATATATATGATCTGTATTAGTAAAATGCCATGTTAGTAAGAAAGTTTTTCTTTTTTTAACTTGCATTTAAAATATAACTGCCATTTACAATTTAATAGCAAAAGAACTATAATATAACACATTTATATTTCATGTCAAACAATTATACTTTCCATGTTGGAAAGATTTTAGTAAACAAAGTTTCAAATAATTTCCTTGTCAGCTTTAGACACATTCCATGGTAAGCAGTAAGTAAGCAGCAGGTTCTTAAATAAAGGTATTTGTTTAGTGTATGTTGCTCTTGAACAGCATTTGTGGGTAGGATCGCTGAGTGGAACTTTCTGTTTATAAGGTCACTCAGATCCCTAGTCTTAGAGATAGAACTTGAATCTAAAGGTCATCATTTGTAACTTGGGGCAGCATCCCCACTGTATCTTAGTGTCCTGTTTCTGTGTATACATCAGCTTCCTGTGGGTCCAAGGACCCTGATCAGATTATAGCAGTACTCAGTACTCAGCACCTTTGTTCTCGTTGCCTGAGCGGTGCAGTGCCATAGCTGTTGACACACAATTGTGACAGCAGCTAGTCCAGTTAAGCTGGAGGTGGTATAGAGCGTGTGTGGGAGGGTTGTGTGGGTTCTACGCAGATACTGTTGCAGTAAACACGGGTTGAGCATCAGAATTTTGATATTGACAAAGGGATATAATTTTTTGGAACCAATTCTCCTGTGATACCATGGGACAACTGTATATTCCACTAAGTTTCTTAGTACTAAAAGTTGTTTAATTTTGTTTTCTCTAAAGGTCGACAAAAGTAAACGACTTTGACACCCTTGATCATTTGTCTAGTATATGTAATGGGCTTCAGAGTTTACTGTTGGAAATATTGGAAAGGGTAAGAAAAACAGGCAGAAAAGTTCATGTGTATGTTTTTAGAAGTTTTTGTGTTTCTCAACAGTGCCCAAAATTGATAGGAAATACCGTTGTTTCTGACAAGTTAAAGAACAAATCCTTTGTTACAAATACCTAGAAGTAACAGATAAAACCCATCAAGCCTAAAGATCCTTAGGTGCCAGAAGTAGTGGAAAATCCATAAATTACAGAGGAATTGTAAACTACTCCCGTGGCCTAGTGTTCCTAGTGGAACACTGCTTAATCCCACTAGTTTGGATTTCTCACTCCAGTACGGTGACTTTTGGAATTGGGACCTTGGGTCCACCTGGAGGAGATTTCCAGCTGAGTTCCTATTTAGAGATAGGACCATCAGAAAACATCTTCCTCCTCATTTTTAATAAACTGTTTATTTTTCGTTTGTACAGATGAGTGTTTGCCTCTATGTATATATGTACACCACATACATACAAGAAGCCTCCCTCTCTTCTCAGTGAAACGATAACAGAAAAAAGCTATTGTCATTGCCAAGAGGTGGCATCTCTCCTCATGGTTTTGACGTTACTTTCTACAGGTTGAGTGAATTTGTACTCGCTGCACCTCCCGGGGTTTAACTACTGCCAGCCATGTAAGCTGCAGCTCACATAGTGACCCTGTCCCATGCACTAGAATTGGCAGACACGATAGCATTACTTCTTCAGGATGTTTTGATAATGCAGTATAGTAGCTGAAAAGATTGCAAATCTTTAAATTTATTAAAACCATAAATCAACCGTAGGAAAAGTCTAATTATGACCACAAAGAATCAAGCAAGATTTTAGAATAGAAAGGTCAGTTGAAATGTAAAACATGGATTCCCCTTGTATGGGCTGGGCTGTAATTTCCTCTGATTGAAGAAAAAAAGAGCCACCAAATGATGAAGGTCACAGCATGATGAACCCCCTCCCGAAGTGATGAACATTGCCTGTGAACGCACACCCTCTTTACCCTTTCCATAATTTCCATCTATAATGAGAAAGTGAGAATTGAGGAATATGCTGTAGAATATCTGACCGGTATTTGTCAAAAGTACCGAGCTAAGAAGAAATGGAAAAACATGACTGATGAGAAGAGATTGGCTGCACATGGAGAATAGATTTAACGGCGTGCTGCAGAAGGGGCACCGAGGGAAACAAGAAATCCAAATAAAATCTGTAGTTTCTAATTAGAAAGATTGTACTAGTGTTAAAGATTTGGTCATTTCTTGATAATTATAATTTGATCATGCTAACTTCATGGAACTAGTAAAGGATATGAAAGAGTAGTGTCCCATCTTTTCAGCTCTTTTATAAGTTAATTTTGTTTGTTTGTTTTTTGTTTTTCGAGACAGGGTTTCTCTGTGGCTTTGGAACCTGTCCTGGAACTAGCTTTGTAGACCAGGCTGGCCTCGATCTCACAGAGATCTGCCTGCCTCTGCCTCCAAGTGCTGGGATTAAGGGCGTGTGCCACCAACACTCAGCTCAAAAATATATTTTAAATCTAGGAAGTATAGAAAATGCAATCCAGTTTGAAAATTAGAATTGCATGTTGTTTAAGGTCAAATAACACAAAATGCAACCCTTAGTAAGCCCATTAAATAGAAGAAATGAAAGAAAACAACAGAAACTGTTGACTGTCATAAACATTGAAAGCACTTACACCATCTCACTAATTTTCATAGAAGCCTTACCAGGATGATACTTTTCATTAAGAGATAGGTGCAGAGTCACACCTGTAAGAAATGGGATGTTCACTCTGTGTATGCACAGTCAAACAGATGTGTGTGCACATGTGTAGACTTACAAGGAGAGACCGGTGAGAATGGAGAAGTGACATTCACACGACAGCTGGAATAAACCCATGCTGGCACAGGCCTGTCAGCCTCATACTTGGGCATGACTAGGAGGATCAGAAGTTTAGCGCTCATCTGTGGCTATTCAGTCAAGTGTAAGGGCAGCCTTGGATACATGGCACATCATCATCGTTGTCGTCGTCATCATCCTCATGGGAAGGCAGGACTGCAGACTTTCTAGCTCTGAAGCCTTGAACCCCTGTTCCAAATCCCAGTGTACGGCTCTCCACTGGTGCTCCTTGTGTGCGACCGTATTAACTCTCTGCTAAGAGCGGCACCTGCCAGTTTTCCAGTCACTTAAGTTGTTCAAGAGTGAACGTGAAATTAAGGTGTTTTGGTTTTTGTAATAAATGAGTTTTGTAATCACATTCTTTGTAATTTAGAAAAAAGGAAATAACATAGAAGACAGAAATGAGTATAAGATCTTTACCACATGAAGAATGCCACTGTTTGATTTCCATTTGCATAGCATTTGTCCCTAATCTGCACTGACCTTTTGAGGCATTGGTCTCAAGATTAAAGTTGACTTGGAACTACCTGTGAGGGTTTCAGAACTATCTTGCTTCCAGATATTATGCTTTGTGTGGTGAGATAAAGCCTAGTGTAAGGATTTGATGTTTCAGTACATAGTAGTGTTGAAGAGCCACTGTTCAGAGTGAGGTTTTCAGAGGCAAACTTAGCAGGCTTGTCCAAGGTCCTGGACAAGCTCCCATCCTCACAGTAGGGTAACCAAGATAAAACAAAAGCTGTTCTTGGCACTTGGGTAGATATCTCTGAGAAAGGCATTCATTGTATAGCATTGCATGGTAAGTATGAAGAATTTACTCCAAACAAGATCATGTATAACTGAACTCAACTGAATTTGGATTAAATTTGGAAAATAGAATTTTTGTTTTTAATAGAGGGAAATTAGCAATCTCTAAGAATCTATTGTTGCCTTAAATTGGAACCCATTGGGCTGTTATATAGCAGGAACCAAGAATCAGAATGTTTGACTTCTCTTTTTTCAGTTTAAATGCATTTTTATGCTTTGCTAAAACTTTTAGGTAGTTATTGTCTAACTCCCTGAAAATAATATTGCTAAGTAGCAAACATTGAAAGTTCTTTAGAATTGCCTTCTAGAAACAGTATTTTACTAAGAAAAATTTCAAGGATTCTGCACTTGTCACGAGCATATTTCTGTTGGAGTTTTTGTTCTACTCAGTGTCCCATACCACATTTATCTAGATTTTGTTTTTTAGCAGTGAAGGAAAGTATCCGGAGGAGTGTTTAGTTTGCTGCTCAGGAAATAGTTTCTCGTTTTTGAAGATGGAAATTCATATTGTGCCTGAAAACTAAAAACTCTCCTTTCTGCTTTTAGGCCAACAGCAGCAGAACTGTTGAGGCACAAGTTCTTCCAGAAAGCGAAGGTGGGCGTCCCAGCTTTTGAGTGTATGCATTTATAGAGTGTTTCTAGGGCTCATGCTGTGTTCACTGTTTTAACTTGCATTTCTTAAGATGATTGATTACATTTGGAGAAATGATCAATAAAATAATTACTGAAGGCATTGTATATGCAGTCTTTGGTATGTTAGGTAACTTGCCCTGGGGGTTGGGGTAAAGTGCTTTCCACATAAGCGTGAAAATCTAAATTTGGTCCCCAGAAGCCGTAAGAAAGTGAGGTATAGAGACTTGGCTTATAATTCCCCCCATTGGGGAAGTGGAGACACAGACCTAGAGCTAGTAATTGGTGAGCCTTCGTCTCAGTGAAAAATCTCACCTTAAAAACAAGGTGGATGCTGTGTGTAATACACATGTTCATACATCTACAAACACATGAACAGTTCTTTTTTTCTTACTCTACAAGCAATGTGTGAGCAGTTGAGCTCCCTTCAGGGTTTAGTGCCTGAACTAATAAATGCCCCAGTGCCAATCACAATGAATGAGTATGTTTGGAAATGTAGGGCCAAAAAAGAACATACATAGTAAAGGGAGCTTTTCATAGAAAATGGCTCCTAGTACATACCAAGGTTTGTCTACAGTTGAAAAATGATGCACACACTGTATAAAAGCTTTCAGTGTGAAAAGATGAACACTTACCCCATCTTTTCACAAAACAGTTTCTTATGACATGTTAATTATGATTGACATGATTGTGTCAGTGCTTGGTTCAAGAAAAAGTTTTTATAGGTGACTTTTATTTTCCAGAATAAAGAATTTCTTCAAGAAAAAATATTACAGAGAGCTCCTACCATTTCTGAGAGATCTAAAAAGGTAACTGAGGAGTGTGCAGGTTTAATTTAATTTTCTTACATTGCTTAGAATAGATTGCAGGGTGGTTTTTTTTTTTTGTTTTTGTTTTTTTTTTGTTTTTTGTTTTTTTTTTTTTGTATTTTTAAAGTGGGTGCTATTGTGTTAATAGAAATGAGTATATTCATTCCTAGCCATGTTAGAGCGCTTCTATGTAACCAGTCCACAAGTCCCTGTGAGCTATGTGCTTAGATATCACCCTGCTGTCTCCAGTGTGCCAACTGGGTTGGATGGCAGCTGCTGAGTCAGCCCTGACCCCTGTGGATGACCGTTCCCAGCTTTCCACAGTGAGGTGGTGATTTTGCATAGCTCTTTCAACTTGGGGTGGAAGTCATACTACCACCTAGCTCTAGGCATTTTATAACAGAGCGCTTTGTTTTGTATATGGTATTCATAAGAACTCTGGTCATAATTTGAACACAATACATTGAAGTCCATTTTGGGCAAAATTGATTTTGCTATTCAGCACATAGACAATCCCCACTTCCTCCCTCTTCCGCCCTTGAAAGAGTAGCACATGTGAAGGAAATGCTGTCCCATGGGTCTCTGTTGCTGACAGACTAGAGGGAGAGGTCCAGGGTCCTTGTTCCATATGGTGTAGTAGAAGGCCTGCCTGAGAAGGTAGGGTCATTCTGGTAGAAGCTTATTGTCAGTACATGTCACTACTTGCGATGCCTGTCGCTATTCAGAAGGTTTTACTTAATAAAGAACAGTGGTATGGTAAATACTCTGAGTTTATACTCTGAGTAACAATCACTATATGCACGTTAGTTTGCATTCACTTCAGAGCTCTGTCATTCTGCAAGTCAGAATGCTGAAGTCTGGTTATTAAGAGGTCTCCATTTTTGCTGGCCAGTGGTGGCTCATGCCTCTAGTCCCAGCGCTTGGATTAAAAAGTTGAAGCTAGGTATGGTGGTGCATGCCTCTAATCCCAACCCTGAGGGGACAGTTCCAGGCCAGCCAGAGCTACACAGTGAGACCCTGACCCAAAAGAGGAAAAAATGGTTGAAAAAAAAAGTTGTATTCTTTACCTTGGGTTTGTTTATGATATATGTGAAACACCCTTTCCTCTCCTTTTAATGGTAGCCCCCCACCCCCACCCCCGTGCCTTAACATAAGAATACCCCTGGGGTTGAGAGTAGAAGAGGGTGGTGGTTAAAGTAGTAGATAAAGCAGCTTGAGGGCTGTGGGGTGAGTCTGTATGCAGGGTTACTGTTTTATGTAGGCGACAGAAGGAATGGGAACTAGAATTGAGGTTCATGGTCCATGTATACAAAACCAGCATTCACATGCCTTTCTTTTGCTCAGGTTCGGAGAGTACCAGGCTCCAGTGGCCGTCTCCACAAGACAGAGGATGGAGGCTGGGAGTGGAGTGATGATGAATTTGATGAGGAAAGTGAGGAAGGCAGAGCAGCAATTTCACAACTCAGGGTAAGTTTTAGTTAACTGGTTAGATTCTTAGCTCCAGTTGTCGGTGGTTCTTGTTGCAGCTTAATGAGCTAAACAGGAAGAAGACAAGAGCTACTGATGGGTTTCCCAGTTCTGTGTAGCAAATCAGACAGGCACGGTCCCTCAGTATGATGACATTTAGGACATATGAAAATGCCCTGTGTCTAGATGTGGACATGGAGAATAACTGGATAGTACGGCAGAAGAATTGTAAACTAGAAGACCTTGCAGCATAAAACCGCGTCCCTGCGGCATGTTACCCTTTGTGTGGAGAGGAGCAGTGGACACGTTTAGTTGGTATATGTTGGATTTCTTGTGTGTTTGCCACTGTTTGTGTGAGTGCGTTGGGGCCTTCCTTTTGCTGTGTTTCACCATTCTTACCCCAGTTACGTATAGATAGATGTCTGTAGATGCTAAGTGTCCCTTGCCTGCTCAGTACCTTTTTACATTTATTTTATTTATTTATTTTTGGGGTGCATTTAATTATTAGTGAGCATGTTTATATCTTTGTTTAGTGGGATCTACTCTCGTGGGAGTTCTTAGGACTCTTTTTTTTTTTTTTTTTTTTTTTTTTTTTTTAATGAGACTTCTCTGTAGATCTGGCTGTCCTGGAGCTTTCTATAATGGTGGCCTTTCGCGTGCACAATTACAGGTGGGCACCACCATACCTGCACCCTTATGATTCTCACCCAGTAGATTTTTAGTATAATTCTTTTGTATAACTAAGTTTTTAAGGCCTTGTGAAACATGAGCTCACAAAGGGTTAAAAGGGTAATAAGGGTTGCAATGAAAAGGACAAACTTCCCGATACAAAGTAAGGCTGAAGCTGCCACTGACCCTATGCCGCCTCTTCCCCTCTTAGGGTTCCCACCGTGCCAGGCACGAGGCAGAGCAAGAGAAGAGTGCCTTTCTCCTCCAGCTTTCATCCTTCCTGTAGCATCCCAGGCCACGCCCTAAAGCCGGTACCCTACAGCTATTAGCAGAAAGAATTCCCACAACCCTTCCCAGTACAAAACTATACACAGTAAGAACAAATATGAGAAATAGTTCAGGAGAAAGAAAGGGCTATAACGTGCAAAAATAGACCTACAACCTACAGGAACAACATCAAGCAAGAAATACATACTAAATGTCCAGGCTGTAGGTCTTTGACAAATAACAGAGATCATTCCAGCAGCTGTCTTATCCTAAGAAATCGTAAGTTTTGTACCTAAAATGTTTTTACTAAGATATGAGAGGATAATAACTGTGACCCGAGTAAGCAGGAAGTGCAAGCCAGTGACCTCCAAAAGGCCCAGGAAATGACAGAAACGGCTGGCTGCCTGGAGAGTCACCTATGAAGTCTCTCTGCAGTATTGGGGCAACCAACTTTGGCTATAGGCCTAGTGTGTCTGACAGAACATTTTCAAAAGCAGGAAAATTCTAATGACTGCCCTACCCTGTCTTTTGGCAAGGCTCAGCAGTCTCTTTTCCTCGTATCCCGCTTGTCCAAATTGGACAGCATGCTTACTGTCAGCCAACGAGGCAAGGGCAGTTCTTTGCTCAGTAGGCCAGTTTGCCAAGAAGAAAATAAGCTCCACATGGAGTGTCTTTGTTGTCCATACTTCTTGGGAATAGATCAGTGATGCCAGGAGCAGTTGTATCTCACTTAGCACAATTCTAATTACTGAAACACTTAAATTCCATATTCATATTCTGTAGGTATTTGAAGATTATCTATGTTGAGTACTTATGTGCATCTAGAGAACCTAACTAGCATAAGTATGACAAACATGTCTGACTATTAATGTGTAATTCTTAATAAACTATTAGCTCCCATCTCTGTGAGTTTGAAGCTAGCCTGGTCTACAAGAGCTAGTTCCAGGACAAGGTTCCAAAGCCACAGAGAAACCCTGTCTCGGGGGGGGGGGGGGGGGGGGGGGGAGCCTATTAGCTTAAAGACTAAAGCTTCACACTATAAAAATAATCTGTGAACAGATATGCAGCATGAGGACAATGACCTCGAAATTGTAATAATATATTAAGTATCCTGATTACAGTTACTTTAGTATAGTTCAATGTGAGAAAAATATCTTTAATTAGTATCAGTATACAAAATATCTTAAGCAGAAGTAGAAACATGCAGTATGACAAAAGTAATTTACATTTGTGTACAAAAATATTATAAACAGAAATAGGAACATAATTTAACCTCTGATGTTCAAGGGCCTTAGCCTCCTTCCTTCAGTAGTGCACAGGGAGCCGGGAGTGTCAGGGAATGGCCAAGACAAAAGCTGGAAGCAGGTAGCTTGAGGATGTCCGCAGGCTCTGGGTCCCTGCTGCAGGGCCTGTGGAACTCTCAGAGGCTGTGTAGGCAGTTAGAAGTGGCCAGTGGATTTCAAAGGGGATCTGAGCTCCTGCTCAGAAGGGTGTGGGAAGCACCAGTAGCCACAGAAGTTGGAGGCGGATGCCATGCTGCTGGCTGTGGGCCATGGGGATCAGCTCCGTATTGGGCACCAGATGAAGCATAGACTCACAAAGGTGTAAAAACAGATTTACTAGGGGTGCAATGGAAAGGACAGACTGACAGGCACAGAGAGAGGCTGAAGCTGCTGCTGATCCCGTTACCACCTTTCTGGTGCTTGGTTCTTCCACCATGCCAAACACAAGCCAGAACAAGAGAAGAGTACACTTTCTCCTCCAGCTTTCCATTCCTCGAGTAGCATCCTGGGGTCACTCCTTATGGCTGGTAGCCCCAAATTATTGGCAGAAAGAATTCCCACAACAGCTTTGCCAATGAAGATTGGCAAATATTTTTTAAGCATCAAGCTTAGAAACATTCTGCAAAAGACACAAATAGTAAACATTTTTCTTCATCAGTTTTAAGTAGTTTCTGTGCTGTCCTTCAAGCGTACTATGATGGTTTATATAGTTATGGCCCCATACACTCATGTGTGCAAATGCTTGGCCATAGAGAGTGGCTGTGTTAATGGAGGTGGCCTTGTTGGAGGAAGTGCGTGACTGTGGAGGAGGGTTTTCAGATCACACATGATAAAGCCATGCCCAGGGGGGAAGTTGCTTCTGCTGCTTTCAGATCAAGATGTAGAATTCTCAGCTCCTTCTGCAGTACCATGACTGCCTGTTTGCCACCATGAAGGTAATGGATTAAACTTTGGAACTGTAAGCCAGTCCCAATTAATACTTACCTTAAGTGTTGCCATGATCTGGTTATGTTTTCTCTTCACAGCAATAGAAACCCTAACTAAGGCAGAAGTTGCTTCCAGGAGTGGGGTGTTACTGGGATGGTCCTGATCATGCTTTTGTTTGGAGAAATTTGGACTTTGGGAGTTTGGATTAGGCAAGCAGTGGGATTCTGTAAATGCTGCTTGATGGGCCATGCTGGTGGAGCATGGGAGACGTGGTGCTCAGAATGGTTTGAGCAGTGGGAGCCTGACTCACTGTGCTTCAGAGGAGGATTTTGCTATGTTGCCTAGAGATCTTTCCTGTGATATTTTGGTGAAGAATGTGTCTGCGTTTCGCTCTTGTGTGAAAAGTTTGCCTGAGGCTAAAGTGAAGAGATTTGGATTAATTCTGTTGGCAGAAGAAATCTCAAAATACCCTAGAATAGACTCTGTCATGTGGCTATTAGTCTTAACTCTAATGAAGATTTATAATGAAAGGGGCAAACTGAGCAAGTAAAAATACAAAATGTACAGTTTGAGGAGAAAAGGTGCACTGTGAAGTAGGTCGAAGCTAAGTCCTATGTTCAGGAAATAAACAGATTAAGAAATGGAATAAAGGGAGTGTTGACCTCAGGACAAGATCCCACCCAACTACATTTCCAACTTGTGAAAGGAATTAAAGAAAATCTTAGAGCTAGGTGTGGTGGTATACACCTTTAATCCCAGCACTCAGAAGGCAGAGGCTGCTGGATATCTTGAGTTTGAGACCAGCCTGGTCTACAGATCCAGTTAGAGCTCTAAGCTCCTTCTCCAGCACCGTATCTGCCTGCATGCCACTGTGCTTCCCAACAGGACAATAATGGACTAAATGTTTGAACCTGTAAGCCATCCCCTATGAATTGTTTTCTTTATAAGAGTTATCATGGTCATGGTGTCTCTTCACAGCAACAGAGACCCTGACTAAGACATTCACTCACCATTTCTTTCTCATACCTGCTGCATGTCCTGTACAGACTGTCTCATGTCAGGCATTGCAGTAGTGGAGAAGTTTATCCCTTTGTTCTTCTTGTCTCCCCATAGCTGTCTGTGTTTAATATCAGACATGTATGTGTTGTTTCCTTCTTTGTTAGTATTTTGTGTATGTGCTTGCTACTTAGTTTTTAAAATATATGCAGCCACAAGACACCATTTGTAATGTCCCTTTGGTAACTCTGGTGTGCCTGTCGGTTCTGATTGCTTCCGTGTCTGTTCACACTGTCACCCAGAGTGCCTTTCCTCCTCATTCACCAGGTGCTAGACACTGTGAATGTCACTTAATGCTTACTAATAACTGTGTGATCTCATAGTTAGAAAAATTTAGTTAACTGGGAAGGTAATAGGTTTCATTGTGGTATTTTCAAATGTATATGCCATATTTTGTTCTTCCCTACTGTCATCATCTACTTCCTTCCTTCATATCCTCTTCCAGAAGTCTCTCTTCTGCTTCCATATCACACTTAATGCATTTCTCTCATCTGCTTACGGGCTTGGGTACCATTGTGTGTATGTCCTTTTTCTAGTTCTCTCTCCCTCTGCCTTCTCTCCCCGCTTTCAACCTTCATACAGCAGAAACTGTGATTATGTAATATCGGTCTGAGTCGTGCTATTAACATTATCTGCAGTTTTACCCATCTCTGGAAAATGAGCTGGTTCTGTGTCTTGGCTGTTGTAATAGCTTTAACCCTAGAAGCATACACATCCCTGTGTGCTCCGGCTTAAATTCCATCATGCGTATAGACGGGACTATATGATAGCTCTAGTTTTTAGTCTGTATGTTTGTTTGAGAACTCTTTAAAATTAATTTAAAAATTAGCATACAAAGTGAGTACTGTTTGTACGCCGTTCTTGCTGCTTTGGCCATGTTCTTGCCCCTCCTCCTTTCCCATTCCCTTTCCTGGCTTCCAGGCCATGTCTTGCTGGTTCCCTTCCGCCCTTCAAAATTCCCTGCTCAATTTCCATGCCACATGCATTCCACTATCCTCTCCCCTCCCCCTTAAGACACCTCCAACTCTTAGGTTCTCTTTCTAGTCTCACTGACCAGACAGACAGAAATGAAAATTTAAATCTACACACTTATATATTATATATTTGCCTTTCTAGGGGTGTCTGGTTTCACAATGATTCCCAGTTTGCCTTTTTTTTCCTGAAAAGCCACATTTTTTTTCTTTATGCCCGCATAAAATTCCATTGTAAACTTAACCGCATTTACTTTATGCAGTTTACTATTAATGGGCATGTAACTTGATAACACAGCTGCAAAAACATGGCTGTGCAAGAAAGCTTATAATGGCACTTTGAAAATATGTTGAATAACTAGCTTAAAGGCTTAGATTTGGCCTAATATCTCGGGTATATAATGTTTATGGTGATGTTTATTAACATACCATTAATCACATGTTTATGGTTAATGGAAAGGAATTTGCTTTTACGTATGACCTCTTCTACCTGAGAACTCATGCAGTATGGATATTTGCTTATAAAAATGACTTTGTTAATTTTGTTTCATTTTGTTTTGTTTTGCTCTGTTGTGTTCTATTTTGTTTGAGACCAGGGCAGGGGTGGTGTGTTCAGGGCAGGGGGTGGGGGAGCCGTGTCAATTGTGTTGCCCAGGCTGTCCTGGAACTCAATTTGTAGACTAAGCTGGCCTTGAAGTCAAAGAGATGCACCTTCCTCTCTGAATGCTGGGATTATATGTATGAGCCACCATGCCTGGGTGAAACTGTTAACTTGTAATACAGTAAGTGTATTGATGCTCATTGTGGACTACTGGAACAAAACCAATAATATCACAGCAGCTTTCTTCTTCTCAGAAAACTCAGACTTGAGTTAATTTATGGGCCAGAATGGAATAGAATAGCCTGAAATCAGTATTATTTTTGCAGTTTCTTGGAATGTGCTACTTGAAACTGACTACAAATACTCTTATATTTGGAGCTAACAGAATCTTTTGTTGTGTCTTTAGTCTCCCCGAGTGAAAGACTTGCTGTCTAATTCTGAGGTGAGTAACTGCAGACTGTCATGTCCTCATTAATGTCAGCTTCATTCACTCTGTCTATCTTCCTCTCTGTGTGTCACTGTGTGTGATTAAATGTTAATGAGGTGTTATAGCATCCATGCCTGAAGGCGTCTCAAAGCTTAGACTGTTCCTTGCTTGCTGAGCTGTTTTTTAGGCTTGGGCTGTTGACGTGGAAAGTGATTGTTTACCCTGGTCTGTCTAGGAACTTGTCATATTGTTGTCCTTGCATTTGATTTTCTTTTTCCTTTTTTGAGGGGGTTTGAGACAGGGTTTCTCTGTATTGCTGTGGCGCCTGTACTGGAACTAGCTCTGTAGACCAGGCTGGCCTTGAATTCACAGAGATCTGCCTGCCTCTGCCTCCCGAGTGCTGGGATTAAAGGCGTGTGCCACAAACGCCCAACTCAGACTACTCTCACATGCACTAATCTGCTTACCCCCTTCCAGAGGTCAGGCGATGACAGCCCACTCACCTATTGGGGTCATCTTTTAAAGGTTTTACAATTATATCTCAAAACATTGCTAGACCAGGTATGATGGCTCACATTTATAATCCCAACAGGAGATTATATTATAGCCTAGACTCCATAGCAAGAGCCAGATTGGCCTGTGTAATAAAACAACAAAACACCCTCCTTTCTCTAAAAACCAAAACCAAAAAGAATTTAGACTGCTTAGAAATAATGACTTGTATATAGTACAGATACGTGCAAAGAAGGGGTAGTAATTCATTATGAGACAGGACATTGTGAGATTGTTGCCCTGTGAGCCCGCTCAGATGCTGTAGACCTCTCTCCCTACTTACATGGCATGCATTTGCTGCAGCTCTTCTCAACAGGTGATCCCATGGGTACTTTGCTCCAAGTTCCCGAACAGATTTCTGCTCATCTACCTCAGCCAGCTGGCCAGATGCCTACACAGCCCACTCAAGTCTCTCTCCTGCCTCCTGCAGATCCAGCAAAAACAGCACAGGTAAAGTGTGTTATGCTTTCATGGTCCTTCCCCTTGTGGGCAGATGAGAATCAGTGCAGCCTGTGAACTCTCAAGTTAGGACCAAGTGAGGAATTCTGTGTTCACAGTTTTACAGCTATAGATAAACAAGTTCTATAAGGATCACACAGGTTTTTAAGCAGCAAGGTGAGTTAATTATGAAACGTACCAACCAGGAAATTTGATTTCTGTATTGTCAGCTCTTCATTAGGTCTTTGTTAAGTTTAATAAAACTAAGTGCATTTCTTTTGAGACTGTGGAGCTTCCCACCTTTCCTTTTTGCTCATTTACACTCATTGATACTTCTCTTTCAGGCCCTATGTTTTCAGGGTTATTCTGTTTAAGGTATTTACCCATGTTGGGCATTGATTGTACACCACCTTTAATCCCAGCACTCAGGAGGCAGAGAGAGGGGATCTCTGTGGGTTCAAGGCCAGCCTGGTCTACAGAACAAGTTCCAGGACAGGCTCCAAAGCTACAGAGAAACCCTGTCTCGAAAAACAAGCAAAAAAAAAAAAAAAAAGTTTTTTGTGCATTTTGTAAGAGAGCTGATTTTTGTTAAAGCTAGGTAATACCTAATTAAGTATGCACGATTGTCATTAAATTGCAGCGTAGTGGAAGTGTTTGGGAGATAACAGCTTCACTATGAATCCTGGTGCACTGTGTAACTCTTGCTCCATTCTGAAAACCTTTGATGCTCTGTGTCGTCTAATCTTAGGTCACTTGGCTGAAGTAAGAGTGTGTCAGTTCATTTATTAATTATTAGTAGTGCCTTCCGCCTCTATCTTGCTAGGTGAGAAAAGACATGAAAGTTCTGATGTTTCCTTTTGAATAAATCATCATCTCACGTCCAGCCTCCGGAGACCATTACTCTAAGAACTTCCATTTAGTCATAGTGGTAACTTCATTTTGCCCTTCCTTCATCTGTCACATGGGGGAAAAGTACAGGTGGTGTCTTAGAAAAATTGACAGAAAGATTGGGTTTATTTCATAGACAGAGTGTGTGTCCTCCAGCAAGCAAAGGGTAGCTTTATAGTTTTCAGAAATGTTTACTTCAGCTGCAAAAGAGCCTGGATCTTGGGTTGAATAGAGTCCTGGAGACAGCTAGTTTAGGTCTTAGGAATTAACTTTTTGATTGTGTTTGGCGTGGCTTTTGTTGCTCCTTTGGCGTCTGAGGAACTGGAAGGACTTGGGCTGGATTAAAAGGAAACTGCTGCCACGTGTCCTTCATAGAGGAGCGACCATCTTTGCCAGTGTTCCCAACAGTGACTTACATTGTCATGCGTTTCAGGCTCAGTCTTCAGCAGACCGCTCCTCAGAGACCAAGGTCCCTATCAGTCTAGTGCTGAGATTAAGGTAAGTGGGCAGGCACATGCTTTTTCTTAATCCTCTGTAGATGTTGTAACAGTTGGGCAAAGAGTGACTACATAGGATTGTGTTTTGTTTCCACAGAGATGTGTCATGTATACTGATAGACATTATGTTCTGATTTCCCTACCTTAACTAAAACTTCCAAGCTTAGCACATTGAAGTTTATCCTAGCTGTACCTCACCAGTCATGTTTGAGTTTCTGGAGCCACGTATTAACTGCTTCCAGGATGGTTCCAATTCCCTTTCCTGCCTGACTATTCAAACCCTGCCCATCTTAAGTTACATTAAAAAACTACCTTTGTGCTGAGCAGTGGTGATGCATACCTTTGGTCCCAGCACTTGGGAGGCAGAGGCAGGCGGATCTCTTTGAGTTTGAGGCCAGCCTGGTCTTCAGAGGGAGTGCCAGGACTGTTTGAGAAACCCTGTCTCAAAAAAAACAAAAACCCAAAGGCTTATATTTGGAAGCCGAAGAGAAGGTTCAGTGGGCAAGAGCACTGGCTTGGCAGCTCTTGCAGAGGACCTGGGTTTGGTTCCCAGCACCCAGATAAGGCTTTTGACAACCATCTGTAACTCCAGGCCCAAGATATCTGACACCCTCTTCTGGGCTCTGAGGGCACCGGGAATGCACATGCTGCATAGTCATAATGCAAGAAAAACAGCCTTCACATAAAGGCATAAATAAGCCCAGCCTCTAAAGCTTTCTACTCCATCCCAATCCCATGTGTTCTCTGGGCTGTTGTGGAATTTGAAGAAAGAAAGTGCACTTAATTTTGTGAGTAGTCTGTCGTAGTGGATGAGTGGGCGTAAGAATGAAAAGGGATTCCTCTACCATTTGAGTCACTCCTTCCTGTGTTCACACGGGTTTTTCTCTTGGTTTTATTTTATTATATGTCCTAGTTCATTTTGTTGTTGTTGTTGTTGCAAAAACAGAATACCACAGATTGGGTAATTTATATTGGGTAATTTATAAATAATAGAGGTTTAAGCAAGTATGACTTGACCTGTAATCCCAGGCCTAGGGCAGGAGAATGGCTGAGAGTCTAAAGTAATCCAGGCTATAGAGTAAGATTTTGTCTTAACAACAACAAAATCCAGAGGTTTATTACTTAACAATGAAGGCCAGAAGCCCAGAGCTATATGTCTTCATTTACACCTAACAGAGGCCTTTATGTTGCTTTATCTTGTGGCAGAGAAGGTTCGAGAGTTCAGAAGGAAACAGGAGAGACGCAGTTCACGTAACAAACCCACACCCTGCGTTAGCCCCAGCCTCTTGATGCTACACTAGGGGTAAATTTTTCATCCCAGTAGCTTTATGGGTTTCACTCAGACCCTATCTGAATGAATAAGGGAATAAGGCTGGGATTGAGCACAAGTACCCTCAGATAAGAGAGTCTGCTATTCTTCAGTAGGAGGGTGGTAAAAACTCACAGACTTTTAAAGCATTTTGATGATAATGGTAAAAGTGTTAGCTCCGAGCCCGGTAGAGAGAGCACACAGGACAGAGTATATGATCTGTGGGAACAGAATAATCTCCCTGATGTACATATACATGAATGCATATATAGGCATGTACTGCTAATCTCACGGGGCAAGAATCAGACCACTGCCATAGTTTAGAATCCAATTTTCAGCAAGCTTTAATTAAATACAGCCCAGGTTGATGGACTCTCTGGGCAGGCCCATCTTTTGTTTCCCAGAAAATGACCCTAAGTCACATTTTGCAGGGAGTTAAAAAGGCAAAACCCATAATTCCCCTCATTTCCTAGGCATGCAAACACACATCATGACATATTTCATGCCTGCATCCCTCCCGCTTACATCCAATCAGGGGCAAGGGAGCATCCTGATATAGTTCCTGCCCACGCACCTCGCGCCCACATGTGAGGAAGCACAGCGGGTGCAGATGGTCAAACAGACTTGTTTAGGGAGGGAAAACGTGGTTTGTTAGCTCCATAAACAGTAACCTCCAGCATATCAGGAACTGTCTGACCTTGGCCAAGGGACTTGCAGATCAGAGGCATCTTTGTTTCAGGGATCTCTTAGGCACAGTAATTAAACTTAAAATGTAACTGTGGCTCTCACAGTATGTACATATATACACATACATATGCATACACATTTTGGCAGACCATAATAAATTCTGCATAAATCCAGAGATTTTTATTTTCCTTATTTTGTTTTCTTTTATAGGAATTCCAAAAAAGAACTAAATGATATTCGATTTGAATTTACTCCTGGGAGAGGTAAGTGTTTAAAAAAATGATCAGAAACACAATCACCAATAATTTGCTAATTAGGTATAAGGTTTTTGTCATGTCTTGCTTTTAAATGATGGTAAAGGTTTTGGGAAATATTCATGAAGAAAAACTCAATGGATTCACTCGTTCTTTCATTTGTAGTCCGGACTTTAGTAAGATGTGTAGTAATGAACAGAAGCCTACTAGTAAATACCACTATTGGTTGTGCACTTTCCTAAACATCCCATTCATTTCTTAAGACAGCCACCTCCAGAAAGATGATTCCCATTTAGTAGGGGAAGAGCTAGATAGATATAGAAACTCAGTGTTAGTTCTTCCAGAGTCCAGAGTCCTTGTTACCATCGCTTCTCTGTTAGTAAACGCGAGGCGCACTCCAGGCTTCCTCCTCCTGCGGGAGGAAGCTGAGCCTTATCGTGGCACTGTTCTGATTGTGAACTTCACCCTGCAGTAGGCTTCAGAGTTGAGGAGTGGCCAGCAAGTGTATGTTGCTAAGTTCCACAGTTGATTTTCCTTCTTTTAAGGAGAATGAGTAGGAGCATACAGGGATTTAATTGCTAGTCACCTGTATGAGTGTGCGCACACACCTCTGCATTGGCTCATCAGTTACAGATGAAAGTGGTAGCTTTGTTTGCTTATTTGAGATGGAGCTTCATTGTTTAGTGTTGACTGCCCTTGAACTCAGATCTGCCTCCCTCTGCTCCCAGGGTGCGGGCGTTAAAGGTTCTTGCCCAGCCTACAGATGAAACTAGATTGAGATAGCTTGCTTCATCTGTTTGGCTTCTGGTTATATCCATCACCTAGCATGAGTGGGTAAGAAAACAAACTGCCAGAAAATGGTAATAATTCTAGTAAACTTTTATGATTCTTAGAAAAGATGGTATTTTCCTAACTTTTGAGAATAAATTTCCCTATTGCTGGTACTGAATTTCATTTCTCAAAACTGAGAGAGCTCAAGTTCAGAGTTATATTCAACCCAGGAGTGCTTTGTCACCACTGTAGGGCATACTTCTGAGTTGGTTGTGAACTCTACATTATATAATTTAGAAATGTATCTCTTACTTTGAGTTGATATTTACCATGGAGTTCCTATAGATTCTGCTCCCTAGCCAACCTGTGAAAATTCTTCACTTGAGGGTCAGGGACAACCCTCTCCCCTACCCCTTCTTTGTTCTGGGAAGTTACTAGGTAGCGTGATTCTGGCAGGGTTGCTGGCTGTGTACATGGGAAATATAGTGCTGTGTTCTTTGTCCTTGCAGATACAGCCGAGGGTGTCTCTCAGGAGCTCATTTCTGCTGGCTTGGTGGATGGAAGGGATTTAGTGATAGGTGAGCATTCCTCCTCTGGCCCTCACCCTCATGTCATCTTGTGTACATGGTACCCAGAGACCCAGTTTCCTGTGGGCAGCTCTGATGCTTCTCTGTGCAACAGTCTGGCTGCACAGACCAGGCTGACCTCAAACTCACTGAGACCTGCCTGCCTCTATGTCGCTGAGTGCTGGGATCAAAGGCATTTGCACTGCCCGGCTTCTGAAGCTTCTTGAAATAATCTTGGCTTCACTAAAATTACAGTTCAAGGACAGTTCCACACCAGAGCAAACAAGCAAAACCGTGTCCTACCTCAGACCCTTGACAGTGTAGATAGGTGTCTTTGGGACACTTGTAGAAATGATAGGAACTCAGAGGTTAGTAAGTTAATGGCGTTCCATTTCTGATGTCACAACTAATCCGTGTAGAACACAGAATGAGTAGGACAGTGTTAAATCTAGAAAATCAAAGTAAAGGTAGGCCACAGTTGCTAATCCAGTCGGCGGCCTCTGAAACACTGACTCTGATAGGTAGTTTAGGCTTTGTGGGCCTTGTATAGCCTGTCTTTCTCATTGTTTTTCAGGATAACAGTCTTGCTCTGTAGCCCAGGAAGAGCTGGAACTTACTGCCATCTCCCACCTCAGCCTCCGTGGTGCCAGTTTCTCACACTTGCTTGGCTCCTAGTTACAGGCTTTCTAATGTATTAACATAATGCATACCTTTAACTAAACTGTCTAAAAAAAAAAAGGATAGCTAATATATTTTAAAGACAGTTAATTTAACAATGATTCAGGATTTATTTATTTAGTCTGGAGATTGACAATAGCTTTGATTTGGAAAATGGTGCTATTTTCTTTCATTTTTGAGTGTACATCAAAGATTTTCAACCACCATTTTAAGATTTTGAAATATTGTTGATAATGTATTTATGTAGCTGTTCATTAATTTTCTTTGTATGATTACAGTGGCAGCTAATTTGCAGAAAATTGTGGAAGAACCTCAATCAAATCGATCTGTCACTTTCAAACTGGTATTCACCCCTCTTATCCACCTGCAAACTAGCCTTTCTAGTCCCCAAATGCCAAGACTGTTAGAATATGCCGAGCTCTGTTACTCTTCCTGAGACTCATGGCTGAACTCTCAATTTGAGTGGCCTCACTTTCTCCCAGAAACCTACAATCCAGATCTCTAACTTGTCTCAAGAAAAATTATAAAGCTATTTGATTCTAGTTGTACCAACAGCCCCCATCATTTCTGGAAGAAACAAAGTAGTTAGTGTTTGTTTATATCCCAGAGACCTTTCACCTACTACCTTCCTTTCTGTAGTCCTTATCAATTTTTATTGCTACCTGAAAATTTATTTACAAATTGCCACACCTTGTCATTTTGTTTGATTCTTAGGCATCTGGTGTTGAAGGTTCAGATATTCCCGATGATGGCAAACTAATAGGATTTGCCCAGCTCAGCATCAGCTAAACCACAGTCCTGGAAGAGTCAGCCTAAGGAGGTGCCACACATGCATATCAGTTGCTTCTGTTGGCCTGAACCTACAACTGCCAAAGAACCTGGCAACAAACGTCCTGGCGTGGAGCTTTGGAGTCCTTTATTTATGTTCTTCTTGCCATCTCCCCCCACCCTTTTCCACAAGGAAAGAGCAGTTGGCTTACCAGTGCCGGCATCCTCTCAGAGAGTTCCGTTAGTAGATACACTGCTCGTGTCCCCCTCTCCCTCCATCTGAGAAGCAGCCCGTGTGCCTCAAGGCCAGGGTGGAAATCTCAGCTTATTCTTGCCTTACTACAGCGATGGCCCAAGTGGATAGTAGCAGCTGCATTGGGCACCCTCATCTGCCTAATTCTCCCATACCTGCCAGGGTGTGGGCATCTTGGGATGTCTCTTTAACATTGAAGTAGCAATTAAAAGTTGATTGTTCAGCTGGAGCCCAGAGAATTTAATCCGTGTTTTTTCTTTGTACCTGATGCGAATTCTAGCAACCTTTGTTAGGAAAAGCACAGCCTCGGTGGAGGCAGCCCAAGCTCCTGTCTGTTGTGTTCATGGCGTCTCTACGTGTTCTGCTGGAGCTGTTCTCAGGCACCCTTCTTTGCCTCCTCCAGAAAGGGTCGCTAGCCTTAACTTCAGCTGGTGCAAACGTCTGGCGGTAGTCAGACTTGAGCCATCTGCTCCTTCAAAGTTGAGCTGTGGATTGTTTTTTACAGGAAACATCAAGCAATGGCTTATAACTCTTATCTTGCCAGAGGTAGTTTTTGAACAAGAAAAGGAACTCGTAAGTCATATCATTGGGAAAGTATTTCAGTTTTTAAAAAATTAAACTGAGGAAAAATCGATTCTTGATCCTCCTATGAAGACGGATCTGCCTCTATTCATGAGGAAATAAATGGTGTACACTCTGAGACACAGCAGTAAAGGAGATTCCGGCTGGGCTAGAGGCCTGCCTTCTGCTCCTCTCCTGCACTGACTCCTCGGAGGGGGCTCTTCATTCATTGAAAACGACCCAAGATGGAACATGAAACCACACGTGCCGTGACCTTTAGGTTTTATGAGTAGACAGTGTCAATTTGATTTTCTACAGAAATTATGTAAATTATTCTTTAGGTTTTAAAAAAGAGCACTCAATGCAATATGTGAATATCAGTGGGGTTGGTTTTTCTTTTTTCCTACTGTTTAATAACATTTGTCTAATTGCTCATAAGCCTACCAAGTTACCAAATTTTATATAACAGTGGAATAGTCAGTGTGGCCTTAAAGAGACACACAGAGATGGGCTGTCGGCCCCTAGGAAGGGACTAGTTAGTTGCCTTTTCTAGAATCTTTGCACCTGCCATTGTTGTTGTGATGTGTTCCCCCCTCACCCTGACCCCACATAGTCCTGAAGATCAAGCGGTAGTATTGCTCATGCAAGCAGCTCTATGAAATTTTCTCTTGGAACACACCTGAACGCTCTTCCCGTGTCTGACTTGTGTCACCTAATGTTTCATTCATTGTGAGCCTGCAGATTCAGTTGTGTAGTTTCTTAACCTGTTACGAGTGCAGAGGCATGTTGGGAAAGGGATATTGGAGAACAAGAGAAGATGGGTTTGAGAAGGGGATTAGAAGGAGAATAGATTAGATACCAGAGTCCAAGGTCCCAGCAGGGTTGGTAAAAGGAACTTGCTGACCCAGGAGGGAGAATGAAGATTGGCCAGCTATTAAATCTTTAGTAGAGGTAGGGTTATGAGGAATCAAGGACAGAGAGATGGGGTTGAGGTATAGAAAGCTGGCATAGGACTAGTGGCTTGTTGTAGAATCTGTTTTGGTTCCAACAGCCTGTCTGAAGTCCCTTAAGAGTTGAAAAAGGAGTGTGCAGCATCACTGTTGTAGCTTTTGACTTGGAGGTGGTCCGGGCTGGAAGTGAGCAGCAGCCCCTCTCCTTCCTATTCACAGTCTCCCTGTAGACCATCTTCACCTTTGCCCTGTTGTGGGGAACAGGCAGGCAGTAAAAATGGCCTGGGCTCTCTTTACTTCAGTTCATCGTTCGCTTTTCTGGGAATTGGAAGGTAGGCACCAAGACCCAGGGCAGTGTTACCTCATGTGCATGATGGGCTTGCACAGGGGTGTGAGTTAACAAGTCAATGGGAACTGCTGGGTGGGACAGAGTGGGCCCTGGGAGCAGGCCTCTCTTCTCAGGAGCAGTGAGTGCTTCAGGATGTCCCTCTGTCATTAGGGCCCCGAGACACCCTTGTCCCTAGAGTAGGGACTGACTATAGCACAAGACAATACGTGCCAATGTCATTTGTGAAATGTATGGTCTTTCCAGATGACTAAAGGAAGTGTTTTGCTTTTCTTTTTTCTTTCTTCCAAACCAAATTGTAGAGCCAGCTGAGACTGTTAAGTAATTTGGAGGATAGAATGATGATGTACCAGTAAATGTAAGTTCCTCCTTATGACATGCTAGATGATGAAAGATGTAAACTATTACCTTCTCCCTCTTCTCTTGACTTTGTATTTTACTGCATGTTTTCTTCATTTTTGATCAATAAAGATAAAGAATAAATTGTCATTAGTGATGTATGCCTTTTTTTTTTTTTTGACCGTTGGCAATGAGCTCTGAAGAGTAGGGCATGAAATCACTACTTTGAATTTTCATGTGAATAGAGTGAAGCCAGAGTACATATAAACAATAAAATGAACATGCTGACATACAAATTTTTTAGTCTGCTTAAAACTGTTGTGCTAAAGTTGGGGAAACATGCCCCAAGTAGAAAGAATAAAGAGTGCCCCAGGAAACTGGACATGGTGGGTTATGAACCCATCTCCATTATGCTCCATTATATGTAGATTTTTTTTCCCCTGAATCTTTGATTTTGCTTATGGCTTTAGATACTGGGTTACCTTCAGAAAGTGTGCAGCAGGCCTGAGCTTGTCCCTACAGTACTTAGCTACTGCAATGACGTGGCTTTGTGGGAGGTTCTAGGCTCTCAAAGTCCTGCCATTCTTTCTTTGACTGCAGCCCTGATCATAACCCTTCCTGATGCAAGTAGTCAGACTCTATGGCAGGGCTGCTGTGGGTTCTGGCTTTTCTTAGTGAGCTGTGGAGCTGGGCTTGAGATTGCCTGGAGCCTGAAGCTGATGAAAGCTTACTTCCAAGATCAGCAAATTACAGAAGTGAAATGTTCTAACTGATGGGCATGTCCCAGCTTGGACAGTTAGTTTTACTTCATCCTTTAGGGCAGGCCATCTATCCCATGCTGGTTTTTAAAGTAAATTTCAATTTTTAGGATGGTAGGATAGTTTCACAGCAAAGTTGAGTGGAATGTGTTTTCTACACTTGAACAACCTTTCTCTGGCTTACTCTGCCTTTCCCTGGCATAATGCTTTCATTATAGTTAATAAACTAAATCTGTGTTATCACCCTAACTCATAATTTACAGTACGATTTATTCTTGCTGTTGTATGGTCTATGGTTTTGACAAATGTATAGTGGTATATAGAAGAGTCTCCTGGCCCTAAAAATTCTGCCTAGCGTATTCATCTTTTTCCCCACTGAGCATTGGAAATGAATGTTTTGTTGTTGGTGGATTGTTTTTGTTCTGTCCCTGCCACTAATGAACCCAGGACCTCCTGCATGCTGGACTGCCACAGACTACTCCAGTCAGCTATGGGGTTCCCTGGGATGAGGGTCCTTGAACACAAGGTAAGGAGTCAGCGGTGACAAACAGAAACAAACACAGAAGCAGTGTGAATCTGGGTGTATTTTGCAGTTCTCAAGCAAGGATTTTTATACAGATTTTTTTCCTTAGGGGATGTTTTTGTTAAACAAACCCAAACACATGACATTATTGTTATAGGGCACAATGACATAGAAATCCAAAACATGAAATCCCACAAAGGTATCCTGGGTTAATCAAAACATTGAAAGTCCTTGGCTAACATGGAATCATCCAAGGCTAACTGCATGTTCCTTGAATCAAATTAAAACATTTTTACGATCAGTTATTGTCTAATATCTATTGCCTAGTTCTTATGAGTTTTTTTTTAAATTCTGAGCTATTTTAACTATTTCAACTCTTTCTTATTAAAAGCTTTTGTTACCAGACACTTAAGCCCACTCTTGATGACACGTGTACAGCCATATGAAATTTTATGGGGAAAGATTTTACTATTTGTACTTATGAATGACATGAATGATTTGGAAAGTGCTGGTTTTTCTGAGATGAGGTCATGGCTAGTGACCCCACCTCAGGGGATGGTTTCTTATCTTTATCTCTCGCTTGAAATGTCAGCGTAGGCTTTCAGGAACATTTCCTTAATATGAACAAAAAGGAATAGAACAAACAGAAATTGCCACGAGAATCACAGCCCAATATTTTTCTCTGGCCAAGAGTTTCACAGCCAGTTCCAGGAGACCTTGTTTTGAAATTATGGCCTCACTCTGGAACTCGTCACACAGAATCTACTGGATTTGGTGTCTCTGGACAGCACTCTTCCATTGGCTAGCATCCCCACATGACCCATTGGTTTTTGTGTGGTTAGCATCACACTGTATGTAGTCTGCTCAGATTGGGTTCTTCTGCTTTTAGAAATATTCATCTAGAGTTCTTCAATGTGTTTTTATAATTAATAACTTTCTTTTAGCATTTAATCCCAGTATCTACTACAACTTACCACCCACCCACTGAAGAACCTCATTCACAAGTTAAGAACAAAACTGATTAAATCATCTTTGTGCAGGGTTTTGTGGGTCATGCACTTTCAACTTATTTGACAAACAGCTAGTGGGCGTAATTGCTGGGTCTCAAGGTAAGAGTGTTTAGTTTTGTAAGTAAATTGCTCAACTATTATTCAGAATAGCTGTACTGTTTTTGTGTTCCTGTTGCTCTACACTTTTGGCATATTTTGGCCATGTCAGTATTTTGAATGTGGCTGTTCTATTAGGTGTGCTGTGGTTCCTTTTTTTTTTTTTTTTGAGACAGGATTTCTCTGTGTTGTTTTAGACCCTGTCCTGGAACTCGTTCTATAGACCAGGCTGTCCTCAAACTCACAGAGATCTCTCTGTCTCTGCCTCCTGAGTGCTGGGATCAAAGGCGTGTGAAGGCGTGTGCCGCCAACGCCCTGCTTTGTTCCCTCATCTTAATTTGCAGTTTCCTAATGAATGTGTTGTTGAACATCTTCATGTGTGCCAGCTTGATTTCTGTGTGTTCTGGAGACATGGCTATTCAGATATTATTTTGAAGTAAGCTCAGACTTACAGACATATCTGCAAATAAACAGTACCAGAGATTCGCCTTGTGGCTTCTCTAGATGTAAATATCTCACATAATTATAAAATCAGGACATTATTCTTGGTGGGATACTGTTGACTAATTTACAGCTGATAGAAATTTTTTTATGTGTTTTCTGGACTCAGTCCACAATCTCATATTGTCTGTAGCTATCATATCTCCTTGATCTCTGGCCCGACACACCTTGATCTCTGTTTCTTTTGACCTTAACTTACATCAAAGTAATGGATAGTTACTGCTGTTTTATTTAAAAAAGCCATTTGTGTGTCCAAAATTATCCAAGGTTAACCCAGTGTCATCTTCTGAAATGTAAGGTTTTGTGTTTTATATTTAGTCTATGGCTTAAGTAACTGTGCACATATTATTTCCTTTTTCTATGTGTACACCACCCACATTGTTGGCTAGGGCTTGCAATACTGTTGGTATAAGGTACCACCCTGCTCGCGGAATTTTTCTTATTTAAATAAACTCTTCGAGATGTAATCTGTCTAAAACTTCAGTTGAAGCTGAGGACAGCTTCAGTATTAGCCTGTACAGATGATCTTTGTGTCTTTATTTGTAGACAGTTGATGCTGGTGATTTTCCTGACACTTTAAATAGAGACTATATTTATTCCACCTAAAAGTGGCCTGTGGTTAGGAAACAGTTGGCACTCACCTTTCTGGGTTTTATAGTAAGTGAGAAAAGACACTAGAATGTGTGTGTGTGTGTGCGCGCACGTGCGTGCGCGTGTGCACGCATGTATGCATGAGAGTGTTTTCACACTTGTACACGAGTGCACGCACGCACACGCACGTGCTTCCATGCACACCATCGCATGTCCCAGAACTGTGTTACGGAGTCCGTTCTCTCTTACCTTTCCGTGAGGTCTGGGGATTGACCTCAGGTTGGTAGGCTTGCTTGGTGAGCACCTTTACCTGGTGAGCCATTTTGCCATCCTGTCCTTGTTTTTGTTTTTTGAGACAGCAGCATCTAACTATAACTGTAGCCTGTGCTGGCCTGGAGCACACTGTATTCCAGGTTGGCCTTGAGCTATCAGTGATCTGCCCCACCCTCCTAAATGCTGGTAATTCAGGTGTAAGCCACCATGCTTGGCAACAGGTGTGGCCAGGGTGGGTATCTAACGACAGCTTGTACCACTCTTTTATAGAATTCTCTATTCACAAGAAGTACAAGAATCTTTAGAAACCAATTCAGCTTTTCTCTCTACTCAGGCAAGTAGACTGATAAACATGTTTGGGATGAATCGGCGGCACAGCCCTAGCTTCCTCCCTCACCAAGGCCAGCCAGGGGCCAGGGCAGTCAGTCAGTCACATCACTGAGGAACAGTCCTGTACCATCTTTCCCTGTGCATTCTATTTCTGGTCCTCTTCCCAGCTTTTAAAATGGTTCAGATTTCAGAACATGAAAAGCCCTTCCTGTGAATATATAAGCAGGTGTGTGTGCTACATATGTATATGTAAGTGCACATGCTTATGTACATGTGCAGGAGGAACTGTAGAGGGAGACTTTGTCCTGTGTCCTTGTTACCACTGATTTCTTTGAGAGGTTGTGGTACACTGGGGGAGCTTCTATTTGTTTTTAATCTAGTAAGATCACTAATGGTTTCTCCCTTGATTAGAACCGAAAATGCAACCCACACCTTCCCTGTAATCTCCTTATGCTCTTTGATTTGTGAGGTTCTAAAAAGGAAGGGTCCTCGTGTGTCTCCCGGGCCTCATGCTGCTCTGGGATTAGCTAGTATTACATAGCAGAAGACTATCAAGTTCAAAGCCAAGGACGGGCTCTTGGCAGTATTGCAGGCTGAGTTTTTTTTTTTTTTTTTTTTTTTTTCTTTTTCCCCTGTGAAAATTTCATGCCCGGATATCTTAGTCACATCTACTTTCCACTCCCTGTTTCATACATGTATAGTGTAGTTACAGCTTTTATTCCCAGTTTCATACACGTATAGTGTAGTTACACACAGCTTTTATTCCCTGTTTCATACATGTATATCATAGTCCCATCTGCCTTCTACTCCCTATTCCATGTATGTATATCTTAGGCACACCCATCTCCTACTCCCTCATCTTTCATATGTGCATGCCTTAGTCACACCCACTCCACGCCCTACTTCATACGTGTATGCCTTAGTCACGCCCACTCCACGCCCTACTTCATACGTGTATGCCTTAGTCAACCTCACTTCTCCCTCTTCCCTGGTTCTCCCTGACACATCTGTAGTGGAATAGTCTTTCCACGCTGTGTAGATGTGTCATTCTGATTGGTGTAATAGAAAGCTGAACGTCCAATAGCTAGGCAAGGTTTTCAGGCACACAGGACACTGGCCAGCAGGAGAGGAAGCAGTGTGGACACAGTAAACGCAGTAAAGCCATGAGACAAAACGTAGATTGATTAAAAACAGGTCAATTAAAGTTGTAAGAGCTAGATAGTAACGATCCTGAGCTATTGGCCAAGCGGTTATAATTAGTGAGTCTCTGTTATTTTGGGGGAGCAGGTGGTCTTGCCAGCTGCATATCTTCATTTTTGTTAAAGTTTTAAAAGGTACATTCATTTTTATGCTCCTGACTGTTTTGCCTGCGTGCATGTATTACATGCTCACGTGCGTGCCTGATGCCCATGGAGGTCAGAGAGGGATCGGATACCCTGAAACTAGAGTTGCAGATGGCTGTGAGCTGCCATGTGGGCGCTGGGAGCCGAGTCCAGGTCCTCTGCAAGAACAAGGAGTGCAATGCACCTCTGGGCCATCTCTCTGGCCCATTGTTTAGAGAACAGCAAATAAGCCACCGAGTACAGTTAGTAGTCATGTGAGTTCGCGTGTGCATGGAGCCAGTGGGACATGGTCAGCCTGTCAGTGGCCTTTCCTTCAAACAAGGCTGACTCTTGCTCCTCATAAGCAACCGTCCGCTGCCACCAGAACTTCAGCTTAGCCGAGACAGACAGCAGCACGCCAGAACTTGTTTCTCATGACACTCACTAGACGTCGACCAACCTTCTCTCATCCATTCCCTGTCTGCTCCCAGGACTCCGGCAACTCCCGAATTTCACATAGAAGGTCGTGTGGTGTTTGTCTTTCGATGCTTGGCTGTGCTCAGTTACTGTACTGATGGGCAGTTTAACGCATGTTGTCACAAAGAGCAGAGTTTCATTGTTTTATGGTGAATAATATTCTGGACACTTTGGTTGTTTCTATCTCCCAGATGCTGGCATTTCTAACTGGCTTAATCTCGTATAGGTTATGTGCGGGTAACTGCAGCTCCGAGGAACTGAGATGTGCAACAGCCACGTGACAGCTGGCTGTCAGCATCTACAGCACTGCAGCTCTTATATTCACTTTTGAAAATACTGTTTTCTTATTTTACATATCAACCCCAGTTCCCTCTCCCTCCCATCCTCCCATGTGCCCCACTGACCCCCCCCACTCCCCAGGGAAGGTGAGGCCTTTAGTGAGGGATCATCAAAATCTGTCAAGTCATTTGCAATAGGGACTAGGCCCTCCCTCCTGCCTCTAGGCTAAGGGAGTCTCCCTCCATGGGGAACATGCTCCCGAAGTTCCTTCATGCACAAGGGCTACATCCTGGTTCCACTGTCAGAGATCCCTTAGACTGCCCAGGACTTTTAACTGAGACCCATGCTCAGAGGGTCTGAGTCAGTCCAATGCTGGTTTCCCAGCTATCAGTCTGGGGTCCGTGAGCTCCTCCTTGTTCCGGTCAGCTGTTTCTGTGGGTTTCTGTAGCCTGGTCTTGACCCCTTTGCTTATCACTCCTCCCTCTCTTCAACTGGATTCCAGGAGTTCGGCTCAGTGCTTAGCTGTGGGTGTCTGCTTCTGTTTCCATCAGCTACTGGATGAAGGCTCTAGGATGGCATAAAAGGTAGTCATCAGTCTCATTATAGGGGAAGGGCATTTAAGGTAGCCTCTCCACTACTGCTTAAAGTATTATGTTAGTTGGGGTCATCCTTGTAGGTCTCTGGAGCTCTTATATTCTTTCTGCCTTTTCTTCTGTAATGGTCCATGAACCCCATTGAGGTACATATAGATGTCCCCTCTGGCCGAACACTCACAGTGACTTCTTCTCAACAATTGGAATAGTTAATAACTCTCAACATTAGCTACTACCCTCTACAAGAAGGCGCTTCTTTGACCAAGATGAAAGCATCAAACACATATGAATATAAAAACAGGAGTATTTAGAAGGTAGTTTTACATTATGTCTATTTAATGAAACACTATTCATAGATTCTCTCCTAGGGCCTGACTTTAGTAGGCATGGAATTTGATCATGTTTACAACCCCAAGCATAGATTTCCTTCCACAGGTCTCAAATCATCTAAGAAGACTTGAGTTCCCCTAGGAGAGTCTTGCTACCATTGCACCAGGAGGCACATTTCTCCTGGCATTGTAGCATGCGGGGTGGAATGCTGGCTGGCAGACATTGATGTTCTTACTGAGTACCTGCCATACCCCCTTCTGGTGAGCCTTAGTCCCTGGAAGAGATGTGCATGTCCCCCTAAGTGTTACAGACACTCTCAGAATCTGAGGCTTTATTTTTGTAGTGATGGGAAGGCATTAGAGATGACTGTGACTGTTAAGATTTTATAGTTGGGACCAACAAGGATGAGACTACACCTTGTTGAGGATTTTGGCTTAGAAAGGCGTTCCTCCTGATTGTGATGCTTGTGTCTGTCACAGTCAAAGCGTTGTCAGATGATTGTGGTTTCGCTTTTATTTGTCCCATACCTTTTCTTCTCAGTCTAGTGAGGTAAGGTATAATCTGAAAGCTGTAGCTGCTCAAAGCTGGGTTAAACATTAATGCAGCTGTCACCATGGCCCAGAGCAGCAAGGGCCCCAAAGCCAAGTTTCAGACCTGCCCGGTGTTCTGGACTGAGCAGTGAGCAGCAGGCATGGATCCCTTTGCACAGGTCCTGGCTGAAGTGGGCGACTTTGGTCGCTTCCAGGCCCAGTTGACCATCCTGATGGGCATCCCCAACTTCCTGTCTGCCTTCTTCGTGTTCAGTCAGGTCTTCATGGCCCTTGAGGAGGCCCACCACTGCTCAGTGTCCTGGGTCAAGAATCTCACTCTGAACCTAAGTGTTGCCGAGCAGCTGGCAGTGAGCATACCCAACGACACAGCAGGCAGACCCGAGTCCTGTGTCATGTTCCGGCCACCTCCTGACAATGCCAGCCTGGAAGACATCCTCGGCCACCGCTTCAATGAGACACAGGCCTGCGACTCAGGCTGGGACTACCCTGAGAACAGGCCTCTGTCCCTGAAGAACGAGGTAGGGTCGTGTGTTCGCTCCCACAGGTCTGTGCCTTTGGTTGGTGTTTGCTGCTCTCTGTCTTGTGCCTGTTTGCTCCTTTACCAGTCACCCTGGCCCACTGCACCTTTGGGCATCACAGGCCAGGCTGTAGCCTGTGCTCAACCTTGAGCTCTGTAGGCCAATTGCTTGATGTGCCGTTCTCGTTTTCCGTGTGTGCTCCCCTGACCAAGTGTCTTTTTTTTTTTTTTTTTTTTTTTTTCTAAAGCATGTCTTGTCTATATAGATCTTTCGGCTTGTCTCTGTCCACTCGCATGGCTTTGTTCTTCCCCCAACTCTCATAAGATCTGTCTGACTTCTGTCCCCTTCCACGTTTATTCACCTGCCTTATTCCTTGCTCATGGAACTTTACTGCTTTTCAACTTGTACCTAGTTCTGTGTGTGCATTCCTGCTTCTGGCTAACAGTTGTATGATGTCAGGGAGAAGTCAACAACTATATGATATCCCATAGAATTTTAAATATTTTGTGCTCAAGGGATTCACTATGGTGCCAAGGGTTGCCTTAGCATACAGTGTGACAGCCATGGATTTAGGTGATGAAGTTGATCCCGGATGCTGTGCCCAGGCTTCCATACCCTTTTTCCATTCCAGTTTGACCTGGTGTGTGATCGGAAGACCCTGAAGAGGACCTCACAGTCGGTGTTAATGTCTGGACTCCTCGTCGGGGCCCTCGTCTTTGGGCCCATCTGTGACTGGTATGTGCTGCTGATCCGCATGCTTTAGGCCCCTGGTTCTGACTCAGTAATCCCCCTGGAGCCTTGTTAGTCATGAAGGTAAGCGCCCAGGCCTGCCTTCCGGTGGGGCTGCGTGGAAGACCTCATCTCCTCACTCTGGCGGAGAGCTGAGGGCAGGCCTGCGTGGGTGTCCCTTGAGTCGGCCCTGGGAAGACCTCACTTCACAACCGTATCCCTCTGTTAACTCAGGATTGGCCGCAGGACCACCCTCCTGGTGCAGCTGCTTCTGTCGGGCACCGCAGGTGTGGCCACCGCCTTTGTGCCCAGCTTTGAAGTCTACATGGTTCTGTGCTTTGTGTCAGCCACTGCTGTTGCTGGATATATGATGAGTACCATGATCCTCAGTGAGTATCTGGAGCCTGCAGGTACAGTCTGAAACCTGAGCTCTTGAGAGCCTCTGAACATCCTGTGGGGATGGTTTCAGTCATCTGTACCTAAGGAGGTCCTAGCAGAGCTTCATTTACTGGGAAATACACAGCACTTGGCATGATACCATCTCAATGTCACCAGAGAGCGAGTGGGCAGATTCCGGCCCAGTCAAAGCTTGGCATGATACCATCTCGAGAGCAACATAGAGTTAGTGGGCAGATCCCGGCCCAGTCACAGCATTTGTTCTCAGTTTCAGAATGGGTGGGGCCGTCCTGGAGAACCCGAGCCATGGTCCTGGCCCAGAGCAACTTTGCCCTTGGGCTGATGGTGCTAGCTGGCCTGGCCTATGGTGTCCGTAACTGGAGACTCCTTCAGATCATAGGAACCACACCAGTCTTCCTGCTCGCCTTCTACTTCTGGTAGGGAGACTCCTGCCAGTGATAGGCCACCCTTTGATGAGAATGCTGTGGCAGGGCGTGGGACCCAGAGGCGGGGGCCTGTGGAGCTTGGGTGGGAGGCTCTGTGTGCACTGGCATTCTGGGTGTCTCTATGGGGCTCAAGACCCCAGTATCAGAGCCACGTGTGTTTGCCAGGGTCCTGCCAGAATCTGCACGGTGGCTCCTCTCCCAAGGAAGGATAGAGGAGGCCAAACAGCTGGTCCAGAAGGCGGCCTCGGTGAACAGGCGGCCCCTGTCTCCAGAGCTCCTGAGCCAGGTACCAGTAAGCAGGCACAGCTCAGCCCTGCTTCAAGCCAATCTCTGTGCCTGTGTCCCGGCCTGTGTCACTCTGCCCTTCTTCTAGCTGGCCCTCGAGAAGACAGGCCCCGCAGGGAACATCCTGGATCTTTTCAGACACCCTCATCTCAGGAAGGTGACTCTGATTCTCGTTGCTGTCTGGTAAGTGCCCAGGTCCTTGTCCCTCAGTGAGGACAGAGCCAGGGGCTGCTCGTGTCATGGGAGGAGCGTGTGCCATAGGAGGATGGGCAGAGGCTCTGTGGATGTGGGGTTCTCTCCCTGGTTTAAGCCAGGCTGTTCCTGTACGTGTGACTTGCTGTACACCCAGCAGTGACAAGGACACTTGGGTACCGTGTAGGTTTGCGGACAGTCTGGTGTACTATGGCTTTAGCCTCCAAGTGGGGGACTTTGGCCTGGACATCTACCTGACACAGGTCATCTTTGGAGCAGTTGAGGTGCCCGCCCGCTTTTCCAGCATCTTCATCATGGAGAAGCTGGGTCGCAGGTGGAGCCAGTTGGGTTCTCTGACTCTGGCTGGTGCCGTGTGCATCATCATCATCTTCATCCCAGCAGGTACCAGGCTGCCTTCCTCCCTGCCAGGGCTAGCCCATGGCCAGCACTGCCCTTTGGGACTGAGGGTTCCCCAGGGTCCGGGCATAGAGGGTGAGGCCCGTGAGCAGACGGGGAGGTGTGCGGGCTTGGCTGACCTGCGCCCTCCTCTAGGTCTCCCCACGGTGGTCACGGTGCTGGCCGTGGTGGGGAAGTTTGCCTCGTCCTCTGCCTTCACCACGTCTTACGTGTACACTGCCGAGCTCTTCCCCACCATCATCAGGTAAGAACGGCTGGGGAGACTCTGGTGCTCTACCCTGGGGACCCTACCCATCCCTCTGGCCCTCTGCCACCACCCACAGGCAGCCAGTGAGCTGCCTAAGGGCCTAGGCCACTGGACGTCCAGTGCCACTACCAAGTCACACAGAACACTGGAGGACAGATGGACATGGGCATGCTGTGGCTTTCTCAGGACCAGAAGAGCGAAGGCATGGCCCAAGAGAGGAACGCTAGGATGTGGAGAGGGCGTTTAGGTCTGTAGCAGAGTGCAGAGAGGCTCGCGGGTACAAGAGGCAGGCACAGGGCGCAGGAGGCAGGCAGAGATGGCTGAGAGCTGGGTCCTCGCATCTCTGGAGCGAGTGTAGCCTGGCCAGTGGCCACAGCCTCAGCTTGTGCTGCTTTTCTCAGGCAAACAGGCATGGGGTTTGTGAGCATCTTCTGCAGATTTGGTGGCATCATCACGCCGCTTGTGATGCTGTTGGAGCAGTACCACAAGGCGCTGCCCATGATCATCTTTGGCAGCCTCCCCATCGGGGCAGGCCTGCTGTGTGCTCTGCTGCCTGAGACACGGGGCCAGACCCTGAAGGACACCTTGGACACCATCCAGGACTTGGAGCAGGGGTGTCCCCCACGGTGAGCATCGACATACTGGACCTGACATCAGGAGCCCTGTCTCTAGTGGCCAGACTTCCCATCACCATCACTCCATTATTGCTTACTCTCTGCTTACTGGCTGGCATGGTGCCCCTTGCTGCCACTGATTCTCTGGCTGGCTTTAGAGAGCATTCCCCCTGCTTTGAGAAGGAGAATGGTAGAGAGCTATGGTGGGACCATGTGTTAGCCAGCCACTGACTGTGTTCTGTTCCTTGTAGGTCCCACATCACAGCGCCCCAGAGAAAAGCAATGGAAGCCACAGGAAGGATGTCCAATATGCAGATGGCTATTGTGAAGAGTTCGTACTTCTGACTGCCCATCTATAACGGAGGACCGACCACACCATCTCCTGTATCTCGTCAGGGCCCATAGAGCCCTTGGGACCAGACAGCCTTGTTCATGCGGCAGCACTGTGTGACCTGTTCACAGCCCCGGCTCCATGCCGCAGAGCCCAGTGGAAGATTCATGGACCACACCTTCCTCTCATCTCTCATACACAAACTACACCCCAGTACCACAACTGAGTGGGGGCTTGCGTCCCTCTTGTTCCTCCGGACAGTCTCTGAGTGATGGCCCCTCTGTCCCCTCAGTCTAGAAACAAAACAGGAGCGGACATCTCCCTTCCAAACGAAAGCAGCTCAAATGCAGAACAGGACACCTGGTAGGACCAACCGTGGGCACAGACCAAAGGAAAAACATTGCCATATTTCCCTTAAGATAGATCCCTTCTTCCTGGCCTGTGCCTCACATGTGTGAGTCTGGCAGGGAGAGGAGACTGACTAGCCCTTCCCCCACCCACTGTGCCCTGATGCCCAGCATGTGTGGGAGAGAGCAGAGCTCCTTCTGCTTAGCTGCTGTTGGTAGTTATTTCCCAGCATGCCCTGGCTCACCGGCAGTCTGCATCTGATGGTTGCTAAGAGCTGTCTCTGCTACCACGGCACATTCGTGGCTCACTTAGAGGTTCTCTGTGTTGTTTGCTAAAATAAACACCATCCTTGTTTAGAGATGTGAGTAGTTGGGGACAAGTTGTTTGTGTATTTACCAGTGTCCTATGCTTTCCCCTGCTAGTCAGGTTATCTTTAGTGGTTGCTCATGAGTGATTCAGAAGCTAAGACACCTGGGATCCCAGAGGAGATCCTACCCAGGCCAGATCTTGTCTCAATAGAAGGGACTCTTAAGGGGATATGGTGGCTACCATATGCCAATCCTTACCTGTCCTCTAGAGGGTGCTGTTGAACAGAGAATAGCCGGGACCCAGGGACCTGTTACTCAGGGCTGTGGTTGTCTTTGTTGGAGCTGGTGCCACAATGGGATCTCAAGCATTGAGGGGCAGGGGTCAGCCAAATCTGGACCCCAGCCTTCCCATTTTACAGTGAGTGTTTTTCTTTTTTTCTTTTTTTAGCATGTGGGAGGCCCTGAGTTCAATTCTCAACACTCTCTTACCCATACACTTGCATATGTGTATCCCAGTGCATATAAAGTATTCCATAGGGGTACTTTCTTCTGAGATTAAGACACTATACTAGACATCTTGAGTTCTTGGCTTCTCTGTGTCCAGGAGCTAAGATGTAACTCCTCTGGTTAACTGTATCTCTACTGTGACACAGTCTGGAGGGGTGTGGCCCTTATGTCATCCAGTTCCCTTTACCCCTGTGTCTTTGGAACTGTGGACCGATGTCAGTAGACAAGTTCCCTTTCACAGGTGCAAACCTGTGTCCTTGGGACTATGGACCCATGTCAGTAGACCACCTGTGTCCTCTGCCCTTCGGGAAAGGACTCTCTCCTCTGACTCTGCACAGTCCTGAGGGCTCTCACAGCAAGGGAGCGGGGGGGGGGGGGGGGGGGAAGGGCCCCTTTCCCAGTCCTGCTTCTTGGCCTTGGTAACCCTTTACTTGCCAAACTCAGTCTGTGGAAAGCCCCTCCCTGCAAGTCTGGCCCTGCCTTTGCGCCTCCAGATCGCACACCCCAATTCTTCTGTTACTTTTCTACCTGGCTTACCTTGTCTATTCCAGTTACTGTCGTCCTTTGGAGGAAATCCTTTCCTACCAAAATCTCATATAAATGAGTAGATGAGAGGGTGTTGCTCAAACACCTCAATTTCTTGCTGCAGCCTCTGTTCTGGTTACTTCTCTGTAGCTGTCAGAGAACAAGTCCAAGATTCCTTTTTTATTTGCATGTGCTTATCTATCAGCCTCGTGGATGCTGTCCCTGCATAGGTCAAAAGAGGAGATTGGGTCCCTGGGGCTGGAGTGACAGGCGTATGCAAACTGCCCCAAGTGCGTACAGAATGGAAAGGAACTGGGTGCTCTGGAAGAGCAGCAAGATTGCTCAACTGCCATGCCTCGGCTCTGACAAAACAACTTTCAAGGAGGAGCCATTTCTGCTCAGGGTTTCAAACCGTTTCAGCTGCAGCTGCTCATCCCCATGTGTTTCAGCAGAATGTCCTGGGGGTGGGGGGAGTTCTCTACCTCTTGGTGGTCAGGGAAGAAGGTAAGGAATGGACTGCAGACCACGTACAACTTTCAAAGGTATGCCTCCAGTGATCTGCTTTCTCAAACTAGGTCCTGCCTCCTGAAGCTTCTAGAACCTTTCAAAATATGGCCATCAGGCCAGTACCAAATATTTAACCCATGAAAGTCAGAGGTCAACACAGGTGTCTTTCTTAATCACTCTCCACCTTATATTTGACACGTGGTCTCACTGAACCTGAAGCTCTTCTATTCCATGGTCAGCTGGTTAGGGAGCTCCAGGGTCCACATGCACCATCCCATCCCCCACGCCACCTGTCCCCATCCCCCACCTGTCCCATCCCCTCCCCCTCCCCCACCTATCCCCATCCCATCCCCCTCCCCACCTGTCCCATCCCCTCCCCCACCTGTCCCATCCCATCCCCCTCCCACCGATGCAGGGCTGGGAATACAGGTGTATGGGGCTGTGCCTGGCTTTTATATGGTTGCCGGAGATTTGAATTCAGGTCTTCTTGCTTATATGACAAGTACTTTACCAACTACTGAGCCTTCTCCCTAGCCTCTCCATCTTGTTATATGTATGAGATAAAATCTGTCACTAGGACCTGAGACCTGTCAATCAGGCTAGGCCGGCTGTCCAGCTGGCCTCAGAGGTCTGCCCGTCTCTGCCTCTGCAGGACTGGGATTACAACATCCGCCTTCACTCCCAGCTCTCACATGGGCCCTCCATGATTGAGTGGTGACCCCTTGGTCTGCTGAGTTGTCCCCTAAGTCCTGCCTCCTAATTTTTCTCAGCCAGTTTTACCAGTGTCCTGAGCGGTATTGTGTGCACTGATGGAGACATCTGGCAAGTCTGGTCTCCAGCCCTCAGCCCCCTTCCTGCTTCTTAGTAGGTCTCTCTGAGCCTAGGGCCGGAATTCGGGTCCCTCGGGTCTTCTGCTTCCCCACAACCAGTTCAGGCTGGCTCCCGATCCTGTGTCCATTCCCCATTCCTACTCCAGTAAACAGACTGGAGTCTGATTTCTGTTAGCAGAGGAGGGCTCTGGCTCCCGGGGAGCTGGGTCAGACACGCTCAAGCTGACTGATGGAGTAGCGTTCCAGAGGTTGACCAGAGGTGTAATGTAGAGATAGGTCCTTTGGTATGTGGGATCAGGAAGGCTTGAAGGACAGCTGGCAAAGACCGGGATTCATTTGGAGGGGAAGTACTTTCAATATAGAAGACAGTTTATGTAATGGCACAAGGTTGCCTCCCGTGCAGTTTGCATACTTGCCTTAACCAATTCTGGCCCCAAGACTGTGGCCACTTGTGTGTGTGTGGAGTAGAATATAGCCCTCAACATTCCCAGCCACCTTCTCCATCCCATTGTGACACCATCTCCCCAGCCACCAATGGAACTCCAGGGTTCTGCTTCCAAGGATATGGTTGGGTCTGGACAAGGGTCAGGTGGGCCCTGCGTTTGGCTTTCGGTACTGTCTCCAGGGCGGAGGGACTGGGTGTGTGTTGTAGAAGGTGGCGATTATTGTAGCATCTGGTAAGTGCGGGGTCACATTCTCAGCACAGATGTGGACAGGAATATGCCTGGGCCTGTTCAGCCGTGGGAACTCTGTGGCAAGAGCAGGCTGTCCCCAAGGGAAGTGTGAGTTTCCAGGTATGGCACCTGGCCGTTTTCTGTGTGCAGGTGGAGTGCCAGACTCTCTGTCCTTCCGGCAGGACCTTTGGATCAGGCGAGGGTGGTGTGGTCAGGGGCCTTGCAGACCACCAATTCCCATGGGTATTCTCTGGAGGGAGGGGTGCTCCGGGAAAGGGAGGAAGGTCAGGAGCTTCAGACTACCAGTCTCTGTGGGTATTTGAGTAATGCTAAATTAACCAGGCTGGCCTTGTAGTCATCTTGTAGCCTGGGCAGGCCTCAAACATGATTCTTCTGTCTCAGCCTCACAAGTAGCTGGAATTACAGGCCTATAGTGCTAGGCCTAGCTTCCTTCCTTTACTTTGGCCTTAATTTCTATTATCTTCTTTGAATATATTCTTTCATTTTTCTTTTTACTTTTTATAATGAAACTCAGTTAGTCAATATTCAGCCTTTAATTTTCTATTAAAAGCAGCTAAAGCTATACATTCCCCACAAGTTACCACTTTTATTCTTAACACTTATAAACATTTTAATTTTCTATGATTTCTTTGATGTTTGAGGTGCGTACATGTTTTTTCCTTAAGGTATTAAGCTCTCTCTATAATGAGAAGATTCACTGTTGACCTAAGGACCCCCTATAGTCTCAATCAAAGCTCAGCAAGGTGTTGTGTGTCTATAACAAGCAAGTCTTAAAGTTCATGTTCAGATGACCGAGAGTGGCCACCATAGCCTTGAGGAAGTAGATTGCATTGTGTGAATGTCTGCGTGCCACAAAACATCAAGATTTCCAGAAAGTGGTGGCACATGCCTTTTAATCCCAGCACTCAGGAGGCAGAAACAGGTAGATCTCTGTAAGCCTGGTACACAAAATGAGTTCCAGTACAGGATCCAAAGCTACAGAGAAGCTCTGTCTCGAAAAACAAAAACAAAAACCAAACAAACAAGAAATCACAATCGAGATAGCATGGAATCCACCAAAGGTGTGCACACAGACAGGTGAAACACAGCTCAGGCTCACACAGACCCGTGAAACACAACTCAGGCTCACACAGACCCGTGAAACACAACTCAGGCTCACACAGACCCGTGAAACACAGCTCATGCTCACACAGATGCAGCCAATTGAGCAAAGGAGCAAGAGTCACTTAGTGAAGGAAATGTAGTTGGAGAAAATTGGTTGTCTATAGGGAAAATATTAATCTAGATAATCCAC